TTTTAGCTTCTTACAAACTTCTTACAAAAATTTGAGAGTATTTCGAAATTTAAAAAAAAAATCGAATATATCAAAAATTTCCAAATTCTCAAAAACTTTTAAAAAATTTAAGAAAATCTATTTTTTCCAAAAATACTATTTTTTCAAAAGTTTCAAAAAATCAACAAAATTTTAAAAAATATCAAAATTATCAAAATTATCAAAAAATCATTTAAAAATCAATCAATAAAAAATTGTTTGTAGAATACGTTTGTCGCCCAATTTAATAAGCACAAATAAATTTACAGTATGCATTTATAATAATTAATAATAACATTAGTGAATTAATAACAATAATCAGTAATAAATAAGTTTATAAATAATTAATATTATAAATTATATGAAAAAGTTTTAAAAATTAATAAAAAAAATATTTCCCATACCGGGAATCGAACCCGAGCCTCCTGGGTGAAAGCCAGGTATCCTAGCCACTAGACCATATGGGAGTTGGGAGACTAGTGAATAAACACGGCATGTATAGTGAAGTCATCATGCGACACGTTTTTATAAGAGGTTATAGTATCAAGTGGCATCGTGCTATAAGGCAAATTGCTAGAATTTCCCCTGCTGTAGTTTGATTGATAAACTTGTAGTAAATTCATTTTTGAGAATTATGAAATTTTTGAAAAATTTGATTTTTTTTTCTTCATTTTTGAAATTTCCAGGAAATTTTGAACTTTTAGAGATAAAATATCAAAGAAATATAAACAAAATTTATTCTTATTATTAAAATTTCTATAAAATAACTAATAATTTGATGTGCATTTGTCTATGAGCATTTTTCACCGCTAAATGTTTCTTTTTTACTTTTTTTTTACTAGATCTCCGAAGCTGCAGACCTGCCTTTCCAAAAATTTGTTCACTTCTTCATTTCGTTAATAAAATATAAAATAGTCTGTTCCCTCAAAAACTGAATTATCATTTTTGGCCCTTTTTTTATTTGTATCTTCGAAAAGGCTGGACCTGCCTTTGCCAAAAACTAATCATGCATGTCTCTCCATCAAATATTTATATTTTCTTAATTATTCAAATCGGTTGATCCGTGTTCTCGAAATCGTGGACGAAAAATTGTATCCGCACATACATACATACATGCAAAGATAAATATACAATTTTTAATTACTGTATGTATTTGGAGTTACTGATAAGAGTCGATATATAAGATTTTTGACATTGATAAGAGATTTGATTAACTAAACTTATTTTAATATCGTATCTGATATAGTTAGCTAACTAACTAACATCTTATTCATTGCTCATTACATAATAGTTTTACATTTCTTACATTTTGGATTCCTATTTGGTTCATCTTCTATTTATACGTATATAAAAAATTAAAGAAAAACTGAAGAACCACAAAAATTAAACTAACGACTTCTTTAGAATTATATATAAGGATCCCATTTCCTTTAATGCTTAAAACATAAACAATTTTAAAAATACTGTTTTAATTTTAATTCTAGCTAAAATAGCTAAAACTCTCTTATAAACTTCAAATATATGATTTTAACTTTGCAATTCAGTTTATATATAATTCTTAGAAGTATGAGATAAGGTCCTTCATTCTAGCACCGCTTGATTGAATTTTGTTTATTTACTTTTTATGTAAACATATATAAACGTCGTCGTCCAACTCATATGCTCTTATATTTTGTCTATAAAATTCGAATAATTAAAGGCACAGTATTTATAATAATTTATTTGAAAACATTCAATATTCCTTGAATATTTCATTACGGTACGGGAAGTTTCAGCAATTTGCATTAAGGTACGATATAAAACATATAAAACATATAACAGTTAACAAAATCATTTTTACTCGGGCATTAATCAATTATTAAAAAGCAAATCCAACTAAATTTTAAATCTTGCATACGTTTCGAGCCCGCATTTGACTATAATCTTCAGTGCATAAACGCAATAAATAATACATAAAGAACTTGTATAAGAGTCATTTGTATAATTCTATAAAAGAATTCATAATTTGAAGTGTTACCCCGATTATTAGACTCTGTCAATATTTATATAGGAGTTAACAAATAAAATAGGTTGCTAAAAGTTATTGATATATAAAATATATAACATTTTGTATAGTAATAATTTGATTTATTAAATTTTATATTAATATATAGAGAAAACTATCCTTTGTCACTCTCTCTCCTCACATTGTCTTTTTCACTCTGTCTCGCTCTCTCTCACTCTTACTTTCATTCTAGATCTCTCTCATTTTCATTCTTTCTTTTTCTTGCTTTCTGTTTCTTTCTCAGTCATTTATATTTCTGCTTTTTTTTAACTTTGTAAAGGAAAGAAGATTGCCCTCTACAAGCTAAACTGTGAAAGATACTAAAAAACTTTGTTCGGACGAAAGATGCAGAATAAAATTACGAATAAAATGATACATAAATCGCTAAGTGTGTTCATATAATTTTCTCGAGATTTTACAATTTTTTTTTTTTTTGATTTTTATGCGATTACTATAGCGTACTCAGGGCATGTGTCTTTACACTGTCCCTCTTCCACAAATTTACTTGCATCATATCAAATTTGTTTTCCAACCAAGGAAAGAAGATTACTTTTGCCAAAAATTCCGAAATAAATAAGATAATTATGATATAAGTATTAAAAATGAGGTAAAAAAAACATTATTGAACAAGAATTTAGTAAACAAACCAGTATTATGAGAAAAGACACTCATTATGATATCTACAAATCAATGTTCTTTTTTAAATTCAAAATTTTACTTTCATAATTTTGATTTATTATTATATAATTATTTTTTTTCAGTTATCAGACCAATACCACTCAGGCGATGTTGGACACCATAATATCTATCCAGCCGAAGGAATCTGGCGGCGGAGGCGGCGAGAGCAGAGAAGCAGCAGTCACCAGGCAGGTGCTTGAGATGCAGTCCAAGTTGCCGCCTGATTACGACCCGTTCGAAGTCAAAGAGAGGTATGTGAATTGATATCGAGATCAATTTAATAGACCCAAATTTTTATCTTAAGTACGTTAAGAGAGTAAGCTCATCTGAAAATAGTTGTAAGTGGCATTTTAATTGATCTAATCAATCGAAATTGAGATTTATGGGGCAATTCTATCGTAACAGAGCTCATCTTATGCGTTTGGTTGTGTAAATTGTGAAGATGTCTATCTATTTTCCGTCATATAAACAGGAATAAAAAAATCCTATGGTAACTGCACCATCTAGACTTCTGTTATCATAACATTCTCCCTTACTTGTTTATATATAAATTACGCCTGATTGCACGGCAAATAGATTGACATTTTAACTAGTTCACTTACAAGTAACAAGCATAAGACAGCGTTGCCATGACAAAGCTATTTTATGGGGCAGATTTGCCCCTTTAATTTTCAATTATTTTTAAAGTTTTATACGATTCATTCGAAGTCAAAGAGAGGTAAGGAAACTGATATCGACATCAATTTAGTAGACTTACTGTTTCTAGGATCAGTTTGTTTCATATAAAAGTGTTATCTTAAGAGATAAAGTTCATCTAAAGATAGTTGAAAGTGGCATGTTAATTGACTTAATCAATCGAAATTGCGATTTATGGGATGGGGCAATTCTGCCGTAATAGAGCTTATAAAATAGCTTTGTCATGGCAACGCTCTCTTATGCTTCTTCTTGGTATTGAACATTATGAAAATATCTATCTATTTGCCGTGCGATCAGGCGTATTTTACATATAAACAAGCAAAGAATAATCTTATGATAACAGAATTCTAGATGTCATGGCAACGCTAAGGTATAAGGCAGAATTATCCCCTATTTATGCTATAAACTTAAAATTATGTTCAGATATTTACAACCTTGCCATGGCTAAGTAGTCAAAGCATTGGCCTTGCAACCACAAGTTTTAAGAATAACTTGATATCAAGTAGTTAATTTTAAATATTTTTATATTTTCAGATTGAGAATAATGGGTATTTTATCTTCGATGAACATTTTCCTTCGGCAAGAAATTGATCAGATGCAAAGGGTCATCAAGTTGGTTCGGATTACGCTCAAAGATTTATTGTTGGCCATTGAAGGAACCATCATTATGAATGAGGTAAAAAATAGCAGTTAAAAACAAGAAAATAATTTTCGCAAAATCCAATCTAAAAGCATTTCGAATGATTGTTTGAGGTCATTGACCTTTGGTGTGTTCATATAATTTTCTCGAATTGAATTTTCTTGAATTTTATGATTGCTACTCGCCTGCAGGCCACACCGTTAGGAATTCGAAATTGCGATATATGGGAAAAGAACTAAGAATTTTGAGACCTTTCTAACGATGTATAATACTTTATATGTTTTCTATAGAGAAATATCGGATAGTGTGGCTAGTTGCTGGAACCTAACCGCGCACTTTGCCTTTCAACAATTGAATATTCACACAGATTGCTCTTTACAAACCAAAGTGTAAAAGATACGATAAAACTTTATTCGGACGAAAGATGCAGAATAAAATTACGAATAAAATGATATATAAATCGTTAAGTGTGTTCATATAATTTTCTCGAGATTTTTCAATTTTCCTTAGATTTTACAACTGCAACTTGCCTGTAGGCCACACCGTGCGGAATTCTAAGTTGCGATATATGGGAAAAGAACTAAGAATTTTGAGACCTTTCTAACGATGTATAATGCTTTATATATTTTCTAAAGAAATATCGAATAGTTGTTGGAACCTAACCGCGCACTTTGCATTTCAACAAGTGCATACTCATACAGATTGTCCTCTACAAGCCAAAACCGTGAAAGATACGGAAAAACTTTGTTCGTAAGAAAGATGCAGAATAAAATTACGAATAAAATTATATATAAATCGTTAAGTGTGTTCATATAATTTTCTCGAGATTTTCCAGTTTTCCTTGAATTTTTCAACTGCAACTCGCCTGTAGGCCACACCGTTAGGAATTCAAAGTTGCAATATATGGAAAAAAAACTAAGAATTTTGAGACCTTTCTAACGATGTATCATACTTTATATGTTTTCTTTAGAGAAATATCGGATAGTGTGGCTAGTTGCTGGAGCCTAACCGTACTTTGCATTTTGCAACAATTGAATATTCACACAGATTGCTCTCTACAAACCAAACCGTCAAACATACTGAAAAACTTTGTTCGGACGAAAGATGCAGAATAAAATTACGAATAAAATGATATATAAATCGTTAAGTGTGTTCATATGAATTTCTCAAGATTTTCCAATTTTTCTTATACTTAATGTACTTAACTATAATGTACTCAGGGTATGTGTCTTCACACTGTCCCTCTACCACAAATTTATTTCCAAATTGTTTTCTACTCAGGCCCTTCGGGATGCCCTAGATAATATCTACGATGCCCGTATACCCAACGCCTGGCTTCGTGGCAGCTGGAAGTCCAGCTCTTTAGGTTTCTGGTACACCGAATTGTTGGAAAGAAACGCCCAGTTTTCGACCTGGTGCTTCAAGGGACGCCCCGTGCAGTTTTGGATGACTGGGTTCTTCAACCCCCAAGGTAAGAAAAAAGATCGATAACTTATTTGAATTTTAAAAACTACCAAATGAAGTAGGATTGCTGGTGATTTATTTGTTTTCCTGGATGTCTTGCTGATTGTTTTATTTGTTCATTAGGTTTTCTAACTGCTATGAAGCAGGAGGTTGCACGTGCACACAAAGGTTGGGCCTTGGACATGGTGTCTTTGCACAATGATGTTCTGAAACAAATGCAGGAGGAGGTTGCTGTGCCACCGGCGGTAAGTTATTCTAATAAATTGAAACGATTGATCAACCTTACTAATATCTAACTGATTTTTTGTTCAAACCTTGACTACCTCTACTCCAACAATGAACATCCTCCTGAGTCACACACATTTTTGATCAACTATAATTGTCAATTGAATTATACATAATGATCCTAATTTTTGAAGTAAAACTTCTTTAGGCGCGACATGGGTGTAAAAACTTCTTTAGGCGCGACACGGGTGTAAATCCGTACAAATGCAACGAAAACGCCAACGTGAAGTTGAACACTACGACGCCGTAAGCGCAGCAATCGCAATTATTCGATCTAGTCTGCGAGCAAAACAAAAAATACATCAAATGTCAAATCATATGTCAAAAACGAAACAAAATGTGTCGACTTTCACTTGAGTTTTGTATTTAGCTCGTAGTCTCTAAACATTTTTTGAAGTAAAACTTCTTTAGGCGCGACATGGGTTAGCAGTATAATTCGTGAGTTAATAAAAATGTCAGGATCGGAAGAATATTTTATCCCGTTCCCCATAAATAATTGTAGTGCAAATGATCGCAAGTAAATAATGAAACTAAGGAAAAATCTGCGCTGCGTAAGAAATGATAGCTTCGGCTATGTATGTTTTGTGTGTGATTGACTTTGGCTTCAAAGTGACTTAGAAATATCGAATGATGCTCAAAAACAAATTCTTAATAATGTTTTTTGAATATTGATTTAAATAATCAGGTTGGATGTCATACTTGTCGAAAGATATTAAATTCGGGTAAAATTCCCACTTTGTGTAAGTTTAACGGGTTTGTATTTCCACCTATACCAAATTATCTACCTAAACTAGATACCGTATCTGAAAGGTTAATTTCACCTAGGTTGTGTTTCATGCAAATTAGACGATTGCGACATGCATATGGACAATTTGGAATGTTTGGCCAAATTATAAATGTGCCTGTTGACATTAATAATATGATTAATTTATTACCTCGTAATATTGATGATGATCATTGCATTAACGTTCACATAAAAAAACAAATGATTCATAGATCAAGTCATGTGCAGGGCTTGATAAATAAAACAAATATAAAAGTATGGCTTCAATTTGTTAGGCAAGACGGATATTACAGCTGTTCAAAGAATGAGATTATATCGTCAGCGAAAAAGTAAAAAAATACAAACAGTAAATGAATGTATGTTAATTTTAATTACATGAAGTTCTTCAAACACAATTGTTACAGGATGAGTTCATTTTCAAAAACAATATTTGTTTAGGCAAAATAGGCGTTGTTTAATATAATCCACTGTGTGAATGAATATTATAGAATTTATGAATCGGCAATTACTTTAAAACGATCATGTCATATTTCAAGTACGACTTTGATTACATTATTGTTTGTAAATATTATACATATTTTTAATGCAATCATAATTATAAAATTTATAATTTATCATTATATAAATGTGTATAATGATTGACGACACTAATAAATGTGTGCATCACGAGTGTTACCATATTTTACTAATAAACATTATTCAAAATGTTTATATGATGTATTTATTTTTACTCAACTTAAATTTGCTACAATATAATTGCAAATAAGTTTTACTTCAATCGCGTGTGATCCTTACGCGCACTCTTTTTTTTCAGGAGGGTGTCTACGTCTATGGTCTCTACATGGAAGGCGGTGGTTGGGAAAGACGTCTTGGTCGTATGTGCGAACCCATCAGCAAAATTTTGTACTGTGTCATGCCAGTGGTGCATATCTATGCCATCAACTCTGTGGCTCCGAAGGACCCTAAACTGTACATGGTAAGTGATAGACATATTGGCCGATTCTGTCTTAAAATAGACCAATGTTATGGCAAGGCTATGTTGTACTTAAAACTATCATATGCTATGTAGTTTAGTCAAGCGTTTTAGATAGACAACCTAACCTAGAAAACGCACAATCTGCATCTTTGTGAATCTGTATCATACCAGATAACCCGGCAAACGCTGTTTTGCTAAGTAAGGTATATTCTAAACAATTTATAGATAATCAAAAATATTAATACTTTTAGTGTATAAGGACGTGTTATTTGAATGCTATATACAATGAGGTATTATAAAAACAATAAACCCCATTAGTTTGTCTATATTTTGTCTGGAAGTTTTATACACTTTCTATAGAAAACATGGTATAATCCAATCCAAGTTTTTTTAGTTTCAACTTTTTCAGATTCTTTTTGGATTCTAAATTTTGTGTATAATTGTAAAAAATACTACTGAGATTATACAAAATTTTCAAATTTCTGCACAACAAATGACACATTTCAAACGAACAATTATCTGACTACGTTTAGTAAAACTCCCAGCTACTTCATCATTGTAGAAATGTGCTTTTTTGATGTTTTTCAAAAATTTGTTATCTAGACCTTTTTACCCTATAGGCGGGGTAATTTGGAACGGCCAGGTGGCAAACAGGTTTAATGTTTTTTTTAATTTTAAAGGTATTTTACAAAATAATTACACTTTTAAATAATGCTACCAACTACCAACGAAGAATATACTTTCATTATAGATTTTCAAAAAATACCGTTTTTGTCTCCCGATAGCAAAGTCATGAGAATCAAGGTTATAGCTGGTTATACATCTTTTTCCCTCTACTTTCAAATATTGTTGTTGAACGATGCTAAACTTTACTGGTTTTTGACACATCGGTGGTGAACCTTTTTAACCCCAGACTTTCATATATTACTATTTATTCTTCGATAAATTCTAGGAAATTATAACTGCGAAAATGTTATTCGACAAAATGCCCCTTTGATCGATACCAAATTTAGGTTCTGAATTTAAATTACATAAATAAAAAATAATATAACTTAGACAATGTTTTATAAATAGCAATGAGTATATTATTATACAAATGAGATATTTCAGAGAACCGTGCTTGAGAAAAATATGCCAAAAAGTGCATTTTCATATTAACATTTCAAAAAAGTTGATATTTTGAGTTTATAGTAACACTTGCGGCCTGTTTACTAACGTTCTTGTGTATAAATAAAACTACAAACAAAACTACTTACTGCAATTTAATCATAATTAAATAATATTCACGTAAAACTTTGTATTAAACGTAATTGAACATCATCTATCAAAAACACGGTTTGACATTTGACGTATTAGCCACCGTCCATTGTTTTATTCAAAATACGCTTTTGCAAAAATGTTCAAATTAAAAATGTAAAGTTTGTACGCGATTTTGAAATAATATCTCACCTTTGCGACAACCTACTGACTAGCACGAATTTTCCGTGACTGGCCAAATCGGTTTAGCCGTTTTCGAGTGTTAGCGGATCATTTGATCGAGAGCCCCATTTTTATATATAAGATAAGTGAAATTGCGTCTGATCGCGCAGCAATCACATAGTATTCATTTAAGACACTATTTGGTATGAGAAGTGCTACGTAACATTGGTCTATTTTACGGCAGAATAGACCTCTATAGTTTGTTTTATAGATACACAACTGTTATGTAACTTTAAGATACTAGTGGAGATTACGTTCAGGGCACAAATATGGCACTTATATTTAAAATCATATTTCTCAATTCTTTAAAATATTTCTAGTGTCCTGTTTACAAGAAGAAACAACGTACGGATTTAACTTACATCTGTCCATTGTGGTTGCCTTCGGCCAAACCACCGGAGCACTGGATCATGAGGGGCGTAGCACTTTTGTGCGATGTCAAATAATCATAATTGTGTTTTTTTTTGTTGTACGAATGGAAAGAGAAAATATATGATTGTTTTTTGAGTGTGTTTTTTTAAAGGGCGGGGGTAGGTGATAGTCATAATGTAGTTGGTAAAATATTATAGGCTTATGAGAAGTGGTTTTACACGGTTCTAGTCGGATAACGCTGAGATAATGAATTTATTCATGTGCCCCCACAGTTCTAAAAAGAATAATATTTTTTACCAAATTTCAAAATTCAAAAAAATCGAGATTTTCTAAATATTTTATATCTAAAAAACACAAAATTAGGCGTAAGTGGCATTTCGCCTTAAGGCAAATTGCACAAACTTTCCGATAGATGTAATAATTGACTTAATCAACCGAAATTTAGATTTAGATATTTAGTTAAAATTTTCGACGGTTTGTTTCAAAAACTAGTGGGGCGCATGGCATCGTGCCTTAAGGCAATTTGCTGAACTTCCCATACCGTAATAAAATATTCAGGGAAATTTTAAACGTTTTCAAATATATTATTACAAATACTGTAGTAGCTTTCATTATTTTTGCCATCTTGTTATATCTGAGCAAATCAAACGTAAATTATAAATAAATCAATTTATCTCCAGAACATTAACAATCGTCATTCCATCTCGAATTCAATTTCAAAAAAATAGTTGCCTAGCTAATTTACACAAAATTGAAAAAGTGTTCCCGTATAGTCACAGTCTAAACGCATTTGCAAGTAATTCTGTGCGACATTTTCACCTATACTGCGCTTAGCTTGGCGGCATTTTCACATTTTTCAATTGTTTTCTCACAAAATTCGAAAAGTGCTCCAACAGTCTAAACGCACTTCGATAAACATTTGTACCAGAGTGGCGCTTAGACTGTGCTTAGCCTGGGACATTTTTTGAATTTTTAATCCAAAATTACAACTAGTGGGGCGCATGGCATCGTGCTTTAAGGCAAATTGCTGGAACTTCCCGTACCAACAAATATATTTTTTCAAACAGATTAACATTTTTACTCTGAAAAAATTAGATTTTTGAGAAACTATAAATTTTTGACCAAAAATTCACTTTTTCATTTAAAAAAAAAGACTTTTTGAAGAAAAATTTATTTTGAAATATTTTGGAAATTCTGAACTTTTTTTCCAAAGCCAATCGTACTGCTTTAACTGCACACAGACGAAATATCGAAGCGCGTAAGCGCCGCGTACGGAACTCATAGGAATATAAACAAAATTTATACTTATTGTTAAAATCTTTATAAAATATCTGATAATTTGATGTGCATATATCTATAATGATCATTTTTAATCTCCAAATGACTTTTGAGTCTCCGAAACGGCTAGACCTGCCTTCATGAAAATTTGATCAGTTTTTCATATTGTTAATATATGTAAAATGTTTTTTGAATTACTCAAATCGGACGATCCGTTCCCTTAAAAACTGAATTACCGTTTTTGGCACTTTTTGCCCCATATCTCCCAAATGGCTAAACCTGCCTATACCAAAAACTAATAAGCCCCTTATCAGTACGAATCGAATGTTTTTTGAATTATTCAAATCGCTTCGTCGACGATAATTTGTATCCACACACACACATACATCTATTTTTTCTAAGGTATGACAAAATGTTCAGAAATCTCTGAAACGTAAAGATATATAAAAATTTTCATTTTCAAGTTTTTTGCGATTACTATAACTTGCCCTACGGGAAGTTAATTAGGCGTAAGTGGCATTTTGCCTCAAGGCAAGTTGCATGAACTTCTCGATAGCTGTAATAATTGCAATCGAAATTGAGATTTAGGTATTTAGATAAAATTAGTTCAACGGTTTATTTCGAAAATAAAGTTTTCACTGTCACCTAATTCAAAACATTACTATTGCCAATTGTATGTCTTAAAATTGTAGCTTATTATTCCAAATTTTAATTTATTTATATAATTCCTAGCTGAATCTTATTTTAGTATGATTTTAGAAATATGTTAGTAATGTTTTATATTTTAGTTGTCATAAATTCAGAATAAAGTTAAATGCAAATCAAGTTTGAGTCTAACAAGAAGTTTAGCAAAAGAACTAATAAAAATCTAGTCAGAATCCCATAAAATGCAAAACGAGACTCTGGAAAGAATCTAACAAGATTAAAAACTTGATAAGATTGTAGTAAAATCTAGTAGCAACCTGATCTGAATAATATGAATATCTAGAAAAGAATGATAATCTGAAAATCTAGAAAGTAGAATTATACATATAATAAAAATCTAGTAGGAATTTTATGAGAATCTCGTGAAAATCTTATGTGAAACTAGTAAACCAAATAATTAGCGATTTAATATGATTCCAATGAGATTATTATACTAATATAGTAAATAACTATAGGGATACAGTTAGATTCTAATAAGATTGCGAAAAATACAACCAGATTTTGATGAATTTAGAGAATCTTATAAGCATCTAGTGAGATTCAGCTAAGAATCTTGTGAAATCTAATTGTAAATAAGAATCTACACAGAATCTGAAACGATTCTGATAAAATCTATTAAGAATTTAGTTAGTATATGGTTGGGATCTAGCAAGATTCAAATTAGAATCTAGTATTTCTGATCTATTAAGAATTTAGTTAGTATCTAGTTGGACTCTGCAAGATACAAGTTAGAATCTAATTAGCATTTATTTAAAATTTATTTAAAATAGTGAGATCAGTTTAGAATCAAATCAGAATCTAAACATTTTTCAAGTTAGATTCAAGTCAGATAAAAATAAGAATTTTTTTGCAAACTTGTAAATTTATTGTAAGAACTCTAAACTAAACTTTTTAATTTTTGAAATCGGTTCAGGATTTTTTGCAAAAACTTGGACAAACATTTTTGCACTATTTTCATCATAATCAAAGCTAGCCCTTACATCGAATTATTGAAATCGATTTTTTGAGAAAATGTCGACAAAAGATAAAAAATCGTACACACTTTCTGGGTACCAGGTACGTGGCGGCTACGTAAATTGGACGTAACACAGACGCCACTCTTTCGATGAAAACTTTTTGAATAAACGTGAACGTGATTTTGATATTACATTGAAGTTTTAATAAAATTTTGTCCAAAAATATACACTTTGGATATAAATGATAATAATGCAATTATTTTATTGAGTATTTTTATAAACTATTTTTGATAGTTTAAATCGTACTTTTGTTAATTATAATAAATGATATTAAGGAACTTAAAAGTTCTATGCTTAAATTGAAGAAAACATTATTATTTAGTATAGTAATTATTTTCAAATTTAAATATTTTATTTCTAAATATTTAAAATCTTAATATAATATAAAAATGAAAATAATCCACACGAAGCGACAAAACCATTACTATCACGTAGCGCGTATAAACTTGCACGTGGCAGTTACGTAACCTGGAAGTAACACAGACGTCACTTTGATGTTACATTAAAAATTTATTGAAATTTTGTACAAGAGTATAAACTATTTCGGATATAAATGGCAATAATGCAATTATATTTTTTGAGTGATTTTATAAAAAAATTCAATTGGTTTAAAGATACAAAATTTTAAAATCTAAATTAGAATTAAAATATTTAAATCTATTTAAGCCTATAAAATGCGTGTAATTACTGATAATATCAAGATTTTTTTTATTGAAATTATACATCTATTAGTCATGTTATCTTCATCAAAAAAATTAAATTAGTTATATCATAATTGTGATGATTCAGACATTGATAAGAGAATATTTTGAATTGCAATTTGATATCTTAAAGATTAGATTTATTTTTTGATAAGCACAAAAATCATTTTAATCAATCAAATACATAATTCAAATTAAAATCAATTAAAATACATAAAATTAAATTTGAGTACGTCTTTGTAGATTGTTCAAAGTAATTAAAGTAACAAACAAAGAAACTTGTTAAATATTTTAATAAATATCAATATACGTTTCAAGTCATTCTGATTCGTTTGAGACCAAAATTAGAAGAAAACGTGAATGTGAGCTTGAATTTGATCTTTCCTCGTTATTTTCTCAAAACTGTACCGATTCAAAAATTTGAAATACCTTTGATAAAACTCGATAAAGACTCCTGAAAGTTTTTTTTTACAATCAGGCAAAATACCTATTATATATAAATAAATAATAAGATAATAGGCATTCGGAATAATTGATAAATAAATCTATAATTAAAAAATTCCAAGATTCTTCCAATCAATATAAACATAAATATTAGACATTTATAAATGTATTGTACTATTCATAGTCTTTGAATTTTCTAATTATATTTTATCCAATTATCGTCTTTGCTGATTTGCGGAATTCTAAATGTATGTTTATGCAAATAACGATTTGCAATAAATAACAAAGTTGTTTATAAATATATAGGCAGAGTTATAGAGATAAGCAAAAATGCGATATCTTCGACAAAATTGATAAACTGTCACAGTGAAAAATTAACAAACATTTACCTTTTTTAGTCACGGACTTCCCGTAATTATTTGGTTTTGAAACAATTAAACATTTATACAGGGCTGGGTAAGATATATATATATATATATATATATATATATATAATATCTTTTTTATATCGGAGAAACTAGCCAAAACCTGAGTAAACGCCTTTACCAACATAAAAATAACTCAAAAAATCCAAAGCAATTTAAGACGATGTTAACCGAGCATATTATTAATTGAAACCATAATATAGATTTTTTCAACCCTAATATTTTACATTTTGAAGAGAACGAAATTAAAAGAAGATTCGCTGAGGGGTTGTTTTTGCAATTGCATAACAACAGAGTCATAAACAAACGCTTCGACAATACGGCCCTGAACGAAACAAACACGTGGTTTCTTAATAGCGTGTCAAAATTTCTTAAAAAATGAAAAGAACCCATCGTTTTTTAAATTACTCATAAAATTTGAATACATGCTAAAAACTGCTTTAAAAAAAAATGTGACATTTCTATCTCAAACTCCGAACAATAAATACATAGTTTCGACAACTTGTTCAGTTATCATGTTTATTTGTGTGTTTTACTATCTGCGAAGTTAAAAAATATATATTTTATCAATGTGCACATACTCATACCATGGATACAAAATTGTAAGTGTAATGAAACTCCTAAGATTCTTATTAACGGTTGGATTCTTATTAGATGTCTGTTATACTCGCACTAGTTTATCGCAAGATTTTCACTAGATTTTCCCTAAATTAGTGGATTCTCAGCAAAATTTGAATATACCTTTTCACAATCTTATTCGATGCTAACTGGATCCTTAAAGTTATTTCTCCTTCATATAATAATCTTATTAGATTCGTATACTCATTACATTCTAACTATTCGTATTAGATTCCCATTAGATTCTTGCCAGAAACTTTTAAGATGGATTCTTATTAGTTATATAATATTCTCATAAAATTCTTACTACATTTTTATAAAATTTTACTAGAATTTCTTACTAGATTTTCACATTCTAGGTTTCGAGTGAATTCTTACTACAATCTAATGAGATTCTTACCAGATTCTTATATTTCATTTTTGATATTACATAAGATTCTGACCAGATTCTTATTAGTTTACTATATTATTACTATCTTCTTATAAGACTCTAACTTGATCATAGTTTGCTTTTAACTATATTCTGAATTTATTACAACTAAAAATTACTAACATCTTTCTAAAATCATACTGATATATAAAATAATAAAGGTCTTACTTCAAAGTCAATATTTATGAGGAAAAAAAAGATTCATTTAGATTTTCATTGTATTTGTTATTTCAAAATCATATATACCATATTACCTGTATTAGCATAACTAAAAATTACCGTCCCGGTTTTGATGTTAAAAATATGGTCACCTCACTTAAGGCTAAATGCCACTCAAACCTAGTTGACTTGACATTTTATCTCTTCATATATCTTTCTTTTCTATAAGTCGCTCTCTTTCATTATAGTATCATGTTCCACGAGCCCTCTGTCAATTACATAATATATATTTGTCAAGTTCTCAAGTTCTTCAAATTCCAAGAAATATAAACAAGGAAAAGATAAAAATAATATTTTTAGAACTTAGGGTTTAGTAAATAAATTAGGTGACTTCCTTATTATTCTTTTTATTCTAACTTGTGATTCAATCCAGCAAATCAAATGGCAATTTTAATGTCAGTGCCAGGGCTCGAACCGAGTATTCCTAGTCGGACGTGCTACTGACTAAGCTATTTTTCGTTTGTGTTTTTACTTCTAATTCTATTCAATCTCAAATCAACAATTCAAATTCTACCTAATTTTAATCCAACAAATCAAATGTCAATTCTATTGTCAGTGCCGGGACTCGAACCGAGAATTCCTTGCCGGACATGCTACTGACTGAGCTATTTTCTTCTTTTTAATACTTCTAACACTATTCTATCTCAAATCAATAATACCATAGATAAAAGAAGAGTATAAGTATAAGAATAATAATTAATTTCAATTCAACAAATAAAATGACAATTTTAATGTCAGTGCCAGGACTCGAACTGAGTACCCCTGGCGTGTTAGTCGGACAAGCTACTGACTGAGCTATTCTCTTCTTTTCTTTGATTCTAATTCTATTCTTCTTCAAATCAACAATTCAAATTCCACTTAATTTCAATGCAGCAAATCAAATGACAATTCTAATGTCAGTGCCAGGACTCGAACTGAGTATCCCCGGCGTGTGGTGTGAGTCGGACGTGTTACTGACTGAGCTATTTCCTTCTTTTTCTTACTTTTAATTCTATTCTATCTCAAATCACCAATTCAAATTTTACTTGATTTTAATCCAACAAATCAAATGACAATTCTTATGTCAGTCCCGGGACTCGAACCGAGTGTCTCTGGCGTGCGGGTCAGGTAAGATACTGACTGAGCTATTCCCGCCACAAGCCTAATTTTAAATATAAATTAAAACAAAATGAGAAATTGACTTAATATTTTACACAAAATTTATAGGTTTTTTGTTACAATTATAATTGTTATATATGTTTTTTTGTATAGTGAAGAAATGCCTTTATGCATCCCAGACTAGGTCCTTTGTCTGGATATGTAGGACTCGATACCGCCCGGGCATAATACCGACTATAACCTCCGCTTTGCCCTTGCCTCATGGGGGGAGGATCTAGAATGTATATATGTATGTGCGGATACAATGGTTCGTCAACGTTTCTAGAAGCACGGATCAACCGATTTGAATGGTTCAAAAAACATTCGATTCCTATTGATAGGTAGATGTGCTGATTAGTTTTTGGTAAAGGCAGGTCCAGCCGTTTCGGAAATACGGAGCAAAGAATGCAGGTAATATAAATTAATATAATTCGGAATATAAATCGAGTTTTTGAGAGAAAGGAGCATCCGATTTGAATGATTCAAAAAACATTCAATTTGTAATGATGGGGAGGAGTGGTGATTAGTTTTTGGCAAAGGCAGGTCTAGCCGATTCGGAGATACGGAGAAAAGAGTGCAGAAAATAGAAATCGAGTTTTTGAGAGGACGGAGCATCCGATTTGAATGATTCAAAAGATATTCAATTCGTAATAATAGAAAGAAGTGATGATTAGTTTTTGGTAAAGGCATGTTCAGCCGCTACGGAGATACGGCGCAAAGAGTGCAGAAAATAGAAATCGAGTTTTTGAATAAACGGAGCATCCGATTTGAATGATTCAAAAAACATTCGATTCGTAATGATGGGGAGAAGTAGTGATTAGTTTTTGGCAAAGGCAGGTCCTGCCGTTTCGGAGATACGGAGTTAAAACTGGCAGTTTTTGAGAGAACTAAGCATCCGAATATTTAGAAAACTTTCTTAACTTAAAAAAAATGTTGATTTCTAAAAAATATTATATTTGAATACAAAAAATAATTCGAATTATAATTCTATTTCTTGCTAAAGTTCTCAAATAAATATATATATATATACTTCAAATAAATAATTTTAACTTTGCAATTCAGTTTATATAATTCTTAAAAATATAAGATAAGGTCCTTCATTCTAACTTTGCTTGATCAAGGTTTGTTTATTAACTTTTCATGTAAACATATATATTAAGCGTCCAATTTATAAGCTCTTATATTTCGTCTATAAAATACGAATAATGAAAGTTACAGTATTTATAATAATCTTTTTGAAAGCATTTTAAATTCCTCGAATTTTTCATTTAATCATAATTTTATTACGGTATAGGTAGGTTCCAGCAATTTGCCTTAAGACACGGTGCCATACACCACTAGTTTATAAAATAATTTGAAAATAACGAATTTTTTTAAAAAAAAATACATTGACATGAAGTGGGTTGCAGTTGTAAAAGTTTGAAGAATAATTTTAAATAAATATAAATCTTGGACTAAAATAAATAAATAATAATAAATAAATAATTATTATTAAATATATAAATATATAAATTTATTTATATATTTATATATTTATATTTATATTTTTTTTAATTTATATTTTGTGATTAACTTCACGTTGCAAGCCCTGTCCCTCCAAAATGCACATTCTGTTTCTTATCTGTCAATCGCCATTCGGTTAAATTATGATTTGTTCTTTCTGAGTTCGCATTTATTATTCTTAAAGCACACATCGACGCCGGTGTCATGTGAGGCTTCTAGTTTATTTAAAATCACACCTTTTTCAATTCTTTACACCCTCATCAAAATCAATCTTTAGTGATTATTGAAATTCTAAAATATCGTTGCAATCAAATCAGAAGACATAACCTCAAAAGTATGTATGTTGATAATTGATAGTCTTTTGTTAATAAATGACTCTTCTTTGACAAGTTTGTTATTTTGTTACAGAATCTGTATGTTGTGTTAAATTCTTAAGCAAGATGGAATATGATCAGCAAGTTGCTTGTAGTCTTTGCTATTTTACTGGGACTGAGCAGGAGTACGAGGCACATAAAACTTGTGCTTTGCATGGGTTTAACTTTATATTGAAGTACTTCTCGGATAAAAGGTGAGGGGAAAGGAACTAATTTGGTAATTCTAGTCAATTTTTTATTGCATTTATCGGATACAACTTGTATTGTATAGCTTGAAACTTTGGTATCGATCAACACACTCAGCCTTGCTAGTAAACCAAATCACTTTTGAAACTTATATTTATATTACAATATTGATATCATTATAAGCAAAGCTTACATAATTAGGTTGGGTTCATATAACATTCTGTTGTCAGTAAGGTTGGGTTCATATAAAATTATCTCGTCAGGAAGGTTGGGTTCATATAAAATTCTTCGTACACTTATGGAAATTGTAATATCTAAAAGTAAAGGTCAACGTAAGATGGTTTGATTTACTACCTAAGTTATTTGTGACTATATTTATATTTATATTTATACAACACAATTATACAATTATAGATATTAATGCTACATAACTTAAATTAATAGATAATAATACATTTTATATTAAATGAAATATAATTTACAAAAAACAAATGTTCACTCAAAATCTTATTCTAATTTTCACAGAATAATTTACTAAAAGTTATAACTCGAATACTTATCAATAGAGTAAAAAACTTGCTTTTTAGAAAATGTGTTGAGTAATTTATAAAATTTTCTATTTTCAACTTCTCTAATATCTAGTGACAGCTTGTTGTAAAGCATTATGCCCATCTAAGGTATTAAATGTAGAGACAATTTTCAATGTGGGACCTTTTACAAGTTTATGTCTTGTGTCATAATAAACACATTCGGGATTTGGGCTTAAATTAAACAGGTTGCCATTTTTTTTTATAAAACAGAGGGTGATTAGGAGAAAAATGCATGGAACGGGTAGATTCTTGTGATCATGGAAGAAAGGTCGACAAGATGTAGTGGACGAAAGGGAAAACATAACTCTGAATGCTTTTTTCTGTAATTGAATTACTGATGTTAGTCAGTTAGGTGAAAAACCCCCAAAATTAAATGCCGTAAATTACATTAGAATAAAAATATGAGTAATAAATAGTGAAAAGGCTCTCTTTGCTTACTTTCATTTTTAAATTACGAAGCATAAAGCAGGTTTTTGATAATTTAGAATTCAGAGTGTTAATTATGTGATGATCCCATTTCATATTGTTACTAATATTTATACCAAGAAATTTAGTATTATTCAAAAACTCATAAGTGTTATTATTAAAGATGTACCGGTTATAACTTGTATTGTGTTTGAAACTTTGATATCGATCAATTTATATCCACACGCAGCCTTGCTAGGAAAACAAATCACTTTTGAAACTTGTATTTATATCATAATATTGATTTCATCATTATAAGCAGAGCTTACACAATTAGATTGGGTTTATATAATATTATGTTGACTTCATATAAAATTCTTTGTACACTTATGGAAATTGTAATATCTAAAAGTAAAGGTTAACGTAAGATTGTTTGATTCACTAGCTAAGTTATTTGTGCAATTGCAAATATGATTTGTAGATTTAGATTACAAAAATTAACATGATACATTATCTTTTTTGATTTTAACTATTACAACTTTCATCATATCAAAAAATCATGTGTTGAACTTGTCCAATATTTGAGCAAGTATACACGATTGATAAAATTAATACAAACTTAGTATGTTCATTGATATTGATATGTGATTACTATAAATTTATTATATATTTTGGAATTTTATATGAACCCAACCTTACTGACAACATAATTGTATATGAACCTAACCTTACTGACGAGAATATTTATATAATCCCAACCTTACTGACGAGAGAGTTTTATACGAACCCAACCTTACACAAAGCTTACACAATTAACTACATTTTTAGAAATTGTAATATCGAAAAGTAAAGGTTAACGTAAGATCGTTTAATTTACTAAGTTATTTGTGCAAGTGCAAAAATGATTTGTCGATTAGATTACAAGAATAAACACAATACAATATCTATTTTAATTTGAACTATTACAACTTTTATTATATCAAAAAATCATGTGTTGAACTTGTCCAATATTTGATGAAGTATACACTATTTATAAAATTAATACAAACTTAGTATGTTCATTTGATGTGTGATTACTATAAATTTATTATATATTTTAGAATTTAGTGTAACCTAACCTTATTGACAAGAGAATTTTATATGAACCTAACTTTACTGACGAGAATATTTTATATAAACCCAACCTTACTGACGAGAGAGTTTTATACGAACCCGACCTTACACAAAGCTTACACAATTAACTACACTTTTGGAAATTGTAATATCTAAAAGTAAAGGTTAATGTAAGATTGTTTGATTTACTAGCTAAGTTATTTGTACAAGTGCAAATATGATTTGTAGATTTAGATAACAAAGATTTAACATGATACATTATTTAGTTTAATTTAAACTCTTAGGACTTGCATTATATTATAAAATACTGTATCAAACTTTTCCAATATTTGAGGAAGTATACACAATTGATAAAATTGATACAAACTTAGTATGCTACACAATACTATACTACAAATTTATTATATATTTTGGAATTTAGTGTAACCCAACCTTACTGACGACAGAATTGTATATGAACCTAACCTTATTGACGAGAGAATTTTATTAGAACTTCTGCTTATAATGATAATATCAATATTGTAACATAGTTTGTGTCGTTTGTTTGAAACTTTGGTATCGCTTGATTATTATCCACAATCAGTAAACCAAATCACTTTTGAAAGTTGTATTTATATTACTATATTGATATTATCATTATAAGCAGAGCTTACACAATTAGGTTGAGTTCATATAAAACTCTCTCATCAGTAAGGTTAATGATTTATATAAACTGAATGATTTATATTTATTTATATACAATAAAATATTTTATTAATTATTATATTAATATTATTCATTCTTGTATTTTTTTCTAGTAATTTATATTTAAATATTATATTACATTTAAATATAAATTATCTCGTCAGTAAGGTTAGGTTCTAATGAAATTCTGTTGTAAGTAAGGTTGGGTTCATATAAAACTCTCTCGTCAGTAAGGTTAATGATTTATATATACTTGATGATTTATATTTATTTGTATAAAATAAAATATTTTATTAATCATTATGTTAATATTATACATTCATTTATTCTTTTTCTAGTAATTTATATTAATATTGTTCAATTAAGTAATATATTTATATATAAATTCTCTTGTCAGTAAGGTTGGGTTCATATAAAACTCTGTCGTCAGTAAGGTTGGGTTCATATAAAATTCTATCGTCAGTAAAGTTAATGATTTATATATACATGATGATTTATATTTATTTGTATAGAATAAAATATTTTATTAATCATTATGTTAAATATTATACATTCATTTATTCTTTTTCTAGTAATTTATATTAATATTGTTCAATTAAGTAATATATTTATATATAAATTCTCTTGTCAGTAAGGTTGGGTTCATATAAAATTCTCTCGTCAGTAAGGTTGGGTTCATATAAAACTCTCTCGTCAGTAAAAGTAATGATTTATATATACTTAATGATTTATATTTATTTGTATAAAATAAAATATTTTATTAATCATTATGTTAATATTATACATTCATTTATTCTTTTTCTAGTAATTTATATTAATATTGTTCAATTAAGTAATATATTTATATATAAATCCTCTTGTCAGCAAGGTTGGGTTCATATAAAATTCTTCATACACTTATGGAAATTGTAATATCTAAAAGTAAAAATGAACATAAGATTGTTTGATTTACTAGCTAAGTTATTTGTACAAGTACAATTATTTTTTATTATTTATATATATATATAATATATATATATATATATACATTATTTTATTATGAAAAATAGTTTTCATATTTTATATATACATTTCATTTGACTATTTCATTAATATAATATCTATTATAATTGTTATTATGATTTGTGAATTTAGATTACAAACATTAACATGATACATTATTTTTTTTAAATTAAACTCTTAGGACTTGCATTATATTATAAAATAATGTATCAAACTTGTCCAATTCCCCATATTTGGGGAAGTATACACGATGCTATGATAAATTAGTAAAATTAGTACAAACTTAGTATGTTCATTGATATTGATATGTGATTACTATAAATTTATTATATATTTTGGAATTTAGTGTGAACCCAACCTTACTGACCAGAATATTTGTTATTACTTCTATTGTTACTTCCATATAATAATAATATATAAGTAATATTATTTTACTTTATTACTTCTATTCAACTTAATTTAATTCTCAAATCTTTTATACACGATTGATCTATTTTTAATACTATTTTAAACTATTTTTAACATTATTTCAAACTATTTTTAACTTTATAAACCTAACCTTGCTGACGAGAGAATTTTATATGAACCCAACCTTACTGACGAGAGAGATTTGTATATAAATATATTACTTAATTAAACAATATTGATATAAATTACCAGAAAAAAAATAAAAGAATGAATAATATTAATATGATAATTAAAGGAATATTTCATTGTATATAAATATATATAAATCATTAAATCTACAGATAACAATTTATTGGTAATTAAATAGTTTATATATAATTAAATGACTGGAATAATTAATAATAATTATTATATATATATATATATATATATATATTTATTAAGTCTGTTAATATATAATTAAAAAAGAATTATTTTACAGAGTACTAAGATTTGATATAAATACGAGTATATTACTTAATTGAACAATATTAATATAAATTACTAGAAAAAAATAAAAGAATGAATAATATTAATATAATAATTAATGAAATATTTTATTGTATATAAATAAATATAAATCATTAAGTTTATATAAATCAATAACCTCACTGATGAGAGAGTTTTATATCAACCTAACCTTACTGACGAGAGAATTTTATATGAATTTAAAATCTGAATTTCTTTTGCTTTTTTGTTTTAACTTTTAATTTAATTTGCTCGTCAGTAGAGTCTTTTTATAATATCATATTCATATATTTAATTTGCTCGTCAGTAGAGTCCCTTTCCTATTTTTTTTATCTAGATACTTAATTTTGCTCGTCAGTAGATTCTCTTTTCTAATTATCTATCTAAATATTTATTTTGCTCGTCAGTAGAGTCCCTTTTCTAATTATCTATCTAAATATTTATTTTGCTCGTCAGTAGAGTCCCTTTTCTAATTTTCTTTACATTTTTAATTAGCTCTTTTGATAGTCATTTTCTATTTTTTTATCTAGATATTTAATTTTGCACGTCAGTAGACTCCTTTTTCTAATTCTTTATTTAAATATTTATTTTGCTCGTCAGTAGAGTCCCTTTTTCTATTTTTTTATCTAGATATTTAATTTTGCTCCTCAGTAGATTCTCTTTTCTAATTATCTATCTAAATATTTATTTTGCTTGTCAGTAGAGTGCCTTTTCTATTTTCTTTTTATCTAGATACTTAATTTTGCTAGTCAGTAGAGTCCCTTTTTTAGTTCTTTATCTAGATACTTAATTTTGCTCGTCAGTAGAGTGACTTTTTTAATTCTTTATCTAGATATTTAATTTTACTCGTCAGCAGAGTCCCTTTTCTAGTTGTCTATCTAGATACTTAATTTTGCTCGTCAGTAGAGTCCTTTTTCTAATTCTTTATCTAAATATTTAATTTTGCTCGTCAGTAGAGTCCCTTTTTTAATTATCTATCTAGATATTTAATTTTGCTCGTCAGTAGAGTTCCTTTTCTAATTTTTTTTTTTTTTTTTTTTTGATCAAACGATTTCATTCATTTCGTCTATTAGAAATTTAGTTTTCTTTTACATTTACTTCGAATAAATCCAGCAATAGTTTCTAATAATGAAAATATTTATAATAATTGTATTTATATATTAAAATTTAGATCATCTATAGTCAAAAATCGTCATGGAGTCATCATCGAGACAGTTTGTTGCAATCAAAATGTTTCACACATGGATAATCTGGGAACAAATACCATTACTGTAAGTTAATACTTTTAATTAAATTTAATAATTTCAATTTCAATTGATTATTTTTTTAAATTTCATTCTATTTATTATCTTCTATCATACCTTAGAAAAAATTGATGTGTGTGTGTTTTGTTTTTTGTTAGCGAAGGAAATGTTTTTATTTTTCTCAGACTAGGTCTTTTGCCTGGGTATGTCAGACTCAATATCGAAAATAAATCGGATTTTAATGTCGAAAATAAATCTGATTTTGATTTTAATGTTAGCTAAAATTCCAAAGCTCACTTGTATACTTCACATAAATTATTTAAACTTTGCAATTGAATTTTTATAATACTTAGAAATATGAGATAAGGTCCTTCTTCTTAAGTCCGCTTGATTAAGTTTTGTTTTTTGGTCATCATCCTTTTTATAAGCTCTCCTATTTCATCTATAAAATACGAATAATTAAAGTTACAGCATTTATAATAATCTATTTGAAAACATTTAATACTTCTCTAATATTTTGTTACGGTACGGGAAGTTCTAGCAATTTGCGTTAAGGCACTATGCCATACATCACTAGTATATATTTTAATTTATCATTTAATTTATTTCAGTTGGGAAGGAATGATATAAATTTGAGCACCACGATCGAGCTAGAATATAGAATAGTAAATTATCGATCGAAAGGAATTGTTTATTTAAGAAATGTCCTGCAACTTCATCCACAGCCAAATTTTAAAATGTTTCATAAACGTCAAGAACACATGGAAAAGAATTGGGATGATAATATTATAAAGATCCGTCCCAGTAAGTATTTGAAATATATATACATATAAACATATATATATATATATATATATATATATATATATATATGATTCTATAATTTATACATTGTATATTTTTATAGAAAGGGAATATATTGTCAGATTAACATTTTCTGGACCTGTGAAACACATTAGTACGTACAGAATGCCGCTGGCTTTTGTATTCCAAATTGAAACAGAAAGAACATTTACTTTGATTCGTGAAATGGTAAATATAAATTATACGCTATTATAATATTTTATATTATATATCATATTATAATTATATAAATTATATATATTGAAGGTATAATTATAAATATAATCATACCTTGCCACTTATAGGTAATTCATAGGTAACTAGCTGATCATTTATCGCGTGTGTCACGAAATATACTAACAAATTAGTAGATTTATATCTATGAACTTAATTTATATTTTTATATTATACTAGCTAACCCGGCAAACGTTGTTTTGCCATAAAAAATATTTCTAGTGAAAAATGTTTAGTACGAAAATAACTAACTGATTGCAAATGTGGTGTAACAAAATATATGAATAGTTTACCCACTGCAAAGCATGCCACATATAAATGTTCCAGGGTCATATTAATAGTCTTTGCAATTGATTTAGTTTAAATTGAAATTGGTGGCACATTTAAAATTTCTAGATTTTCGTATATTATTACCGCGCTTTTGCATTAATTCATTAATTTTTGAATTCCGAAGCAAAATCCGATAATTCATTTTTAAATCCTATACCTATAGTTTTCTATCAAAAACTGTTGGATCTTCAGATTCCAATATTCAATATCTTTATTTTTTTTGCATAAATTGCTCTTTATGCAAACCATTTATCAACTAATACTGTTTGCGCATCGGAAATATTTGTACAATGGGAAAATGGTGAGGGTGGACAACCCTTGATAAAAATAATTTAATTTTTAAGTAAAATTCATGCTTTATGATAAGGTCAAGAAAATATGTATCAAAATTTAATAAAAAAACACTCACTGGCTGAAAACGTGGTGAAAAATTATTCGATTACTAAAATGGCTAGTATGGAATAGAGATTTGTGGAAGAAGGGTTTCTAAATCCCGCATTATGAAAATTAAAATTAGAACTAAATTGATTTCAAAATTTTTAAAAAAAGTAGGGGTGGACATCATAATAACAGTTATAAGTATTTTTCAACCCCACATTAAAAAAATTACAGTAAAGAAAATTGAGCTCAAAATGGAAAAAAAGTTATTGGACAACCCTTATTAAAAATATATTGTTTTTCAAAGTAACCTTCAAGCATTTTTATATATTCAAAAAACTTTCAACAAAAATTATGTCAAATAACAGTTCAAATTAAAATTAAAAGAAAATTGATTCCAAAATTTTTAAAAAAGGCAGGGGTTGACAATTCTTGCTAAAAATAAATAGCATTTTGAAGTAAAAAGAGTTGCATGTATTATTCAATTCCGTATTAAAAAAATAATAATAAGTCAGCCCTTATTAAAAATTAATTGTTTTTCAAAGTAATATTTAAGCATTTTTGTAAACTCAAAAAAATCTTAACTGAAATTATGTCAAATAATAGGTCAAATTAAAGTTAAAAGAAAATTGATTTCAAAATTTAAAAAAAAGGCAGGGGTGGAAAATCATTGATAAAAATAAAGAGTATTTTGAAGTAAAAAGAATTTCATATATTTTGAATTTAAAAAAATAAAATGAACAAAATTGACCCCAAAATTAATAAACGTATTAGGGTTAACCCTTAATAATAATAAATTGAATTTTCAAGTAAGATTCAAGCTTTTTCTCCAAGCTCTCAAAAATCTGAAATAAAATTATGTCAAAAATATTCAATGACTCGCGGTATAAAAAATGATTGTAAAAAAGTAAAATCTTAGGGTTGCATGTATTTTAATGCCACATTATAAAAAAATAACAAAAAAATCAGTCCAAAAATCACAAAGAAATTAAGAGTGAACAACTCTTATCACTTAAGGATATGAACAATAGTTACCGATTCTCAGATCTACTGAATACGCATATTTCAAAAAAAATTATAATAATCGGTAAAGCCGTTTCGGAGGAGTACGCCAACGAACTTTATGATACGCAAATTCGATGTATAAATATCGTTTGAAATATGTAATTTAATACTGGTGACATCTACAGGTTGTCGTCATCGAAGATGTATCCAAAGACGAAACTGCTGAACAGAGAAATAATATTAGAAAGATATACACAGGAAAGTCTTGGATTAGTTCAGAAATTGTTCCTGCTAACCTTACGTAAGTAATTATAATCAAAAAATGTTATATTTATATTCTTTGAAGCTTACTGTGGTTTTGTTGTAAAAACTTGGTCTTGCAACCAGCTTGATATCGAGTAGCAGTGGTATCATTTATAGATATTTATCTTCGATATGGATATTTTTGATCTCAGATGACTTGCAACACTCTGAGACTACTTGCAACACTCTGAGACTACTTGCAACACTCTGAGACTACTTGCAACACTCTGAGACTACTTGCAACACTCTGAGACTACTTGCAACACTCTGAGACTACTTGCAACACTCTGAGACTACTTGCAACACTCTGAGACTACTTGCAACACTCTGAGACTACTTGCAACACTCTGAGACTACTTGCAACACTCTGAGACTACTTGCAACACACTTAGACGACTTGCAACACTCTGAGACGAGTTGCAACACTCTGAGACGAGTTGCAACACTCTGAGACGAGTTGCAACACTCTGAGACGTCTTGCAACACTCTGAGACGTCTTGCAACACTCTGAGACGTCTTGCAACACTCTGAGACGTCTTGCAACACTCTGAGACGTCTTGCAACACTCTGAGACTACTTGCAACACTCTGAGACTACTTGCAACACTCTGAGACTACTTGCAACACTCTGAGACGTCTTGCAACACTCTGAGACGTCTTGCAACACTCTGAGACTACTTGCAACACTCTGAGACGTCTTGCAACACTCTGAGACGTCTTGCAACACTCTGAGACGTCTTGCAACACTCTGAGACGAGTTGCAACACTCTGAGACTACTTGCAACACTCTGAGACTACTTGCAACACTCTGAGACTACTTGCAACACTCTGAGACTACTTGCAACACTCTGAGACTACTTGCAACACACTTAGACTACTTGCAACACTCTGAGACTACTTGCAACACTCTGAGACTACTTGCGACACTCTGAGACGAGTTGCAACACTCTGAGACTACTTGCGACACTCTGAGACGAGTTGCAACACTCTGAGACGAGTTGCAACACTCTGAGACGAGTTGCAACACTCTGAGACGAGTTGCAACACTCTGAGACGAGTTGCAACACTCTGAGACGAGTTGCAACACTCTGAGACGAGTTGCAACACTCTGAGACGAGTTGCAACACTCTGAGACGAGTTGCAACACTCTGAGACGAGTTGCAACACTCTGAGACGAGTTGCAACACTCTGAGACGAGTTGCAACACTCTGAGACGAGTTGCAACACTCTGAGACGAGTTGCAACACTCTGAGACGAGTTGCAACACTCTGAGACGAGTTGCAACACTCTGAGACGAGTTGCAACACTCTGAGACGAGTTGCAACACTCTGAGACGAGTTGCAACACTCTGAGACGAGTTGCAACACTCTGAGACGAGTTGCAACACTCTGAGACGAGTTGCAACACTCTGAGACGAGTTGCAACACTCTGAGACGAGTTGCAACACTCTGAGACGAGTTGCAACACTCTGAGACGAGTTGCAACACTCTGAGACGAGTTGCAACACTCTGAGACGAGTTGCAACACTCTGAGACGAGTTGCAACACTCTGAGACGAGTTGCAACACTCTGAGACGAGTTGCAACACACTTAGACGAGTTGCAACACACTTAGACGAGTTGCAACACACTTAGACGAGTTGCAACACACTTAGACGAGTTGCAACACACTTAGACGAGTTGCAACACACTTGATTTTCTTTGCAACACACTTGATTTTCTTTGCAACACTCTGAGACGACTTGCGACACTCTGAGACGTCTTGCGACACTCTGAGACGTCTTGCAACACTCTGAGACGTCTTGCAACACTCTGAGACGTCTTGCAACACTCTGAGACGTCTTGCAACACTCTGAGACGACTTGCAACACTCTGAGACGACTTGCAACACTCTGAGACGACTTGCAACACTCTGAGACGACTTGCAACACTCTGAGACGACTTGCAACACTCTGAGACGACTTGCAACACTCTGAGACGAGTTGCAACACTCTGAGACGAGTTGCAACACTCTGAGACGAGTTGCAACACTCTGAGAGGTCATGCAACACTCTGAGACGTCTTGCAACACTCTGAGACGTCTTGCAACACTCTGAGACGTCTTGCAACACTCTGAGACGTCTTGCAACACTCTGAGACGTCTTGCAATACTCTGAGACTACTTGCAACACTCTGAGACTACTTGCAACACTCTGAGACATCTTGCAACACTCTGAGACGTCTTGCAACACTCTGAGACGTCTTGCAACACTCTGAGACGTCTTGCAACACTCTGAGACTACTTGCAACACTCTGAGACTACTTGCAACACTCTGAGACTACTTGCAACACTCTGAGACTACTTGCAACACTCTGAGACGAGTTGCAACACTCTGAGACGAGTTGCAACACTCTGAGGCGAGTTGCAACACTCTGAGGCGAGTTGCAACACTCTGAGGCGAGTTGCAACACTCTGAGGCGAGTTGCAACACTCTGAGGCGAGTTGCAACACTCTGAGGCGAGTTGCAACACTCTGAGGCGAGTTGCAACACTCTGAGGCGAGTTGCAACACTCTGAGGCGAGTTGCAACACTCTGAGGCGAGTTGCAACACTCTGAGGCGAGTTGCAACACTCTGAGGCGAGTTGCAACACTCTGAGGCGAGTTGCAACACTCTGAGGCGAGTTGCAACACTCTGAGGCGAGTTGCAACACTCTGAGGCGACTTGCAACACTCTGAGGCGACTTGCAACACTCTGAGGCGACTTGCAACACTCTGAGGCGACTTGCAACACTCTGAGGCGACTTGCAACACTCTGAGGCGACTTGCAACACTCTGAGGCGACTTGCAACACTCTGAGGCGACTTGCAACACTCTGAGGCGACTTGCAACACTCTGAGGCGACTTGCAACACTCTGAGGCGACTTGCAACACTCTGAGGCGACTTGCAACACTCTGAGGCGACTTGCAACACTCTGAGGCGACTTGCAACACTCTGAGGCGACTTGCAACACTCTGAGGCGACTTGCAACACTCTGAGGCGACTTGCAACACTCTGAGGCGACTTGCAACACTCTGAGGCGACTTGCAACACTCTGAGGCGACTTGCAACACTCTGAGGCGACTTGCAACACTCTGAGGCGACTTGCAACACACTTAGGCGACTTGCAACACACTTAGGCGAGTTGCAACACTCTGAGACGAGTTGCAACACTCTGAGACGAGTTGCAACATACTTGAATCTCTTTGCAACATACTTGAATCTCTTTGCAACATACTTGAATCTCTTTGCAACATACTTGAATCTCTTTGCAACATACTTGAATCTCTTTGCAACACACTTGAATCTCTTTGCAACACACTTGAATCTCTTTGCAATACACTTGAATTTCTTTTGCAACACACTTGAATTTCTTTTGCAACACACTTGAATTTCTTTGCAACACACTTGAATTTCTTTGCAACACACTTGAATTTCTTTGCAACACACTTGAATTTCTTTGCAACACACTTGAATTTCTTTGCAACACACTTGAATTTCTTTGCAACACACTTGAATTTCTTTGCAACACACTTGAATTTCTTTGCAACACACTTGAATTTCTTTGCAACACACTTGAATTTCTTTGCAACACACTTGAATTTCTTTGCAACACACTTGAATTTCTTTGCAACACACTTAAATAATTTTTTTTTGCAACACGCTTAAATAAATTTTTTTGCAACACGCTTAAATGACTTGCAACACGTTGCAAAGTGTTCAGAAACCTCTGAAACGTAAAGATATGCAAAAAATGCAATTTTCGAAAAAAATTCGTTAAAAAATGGTTTTGTCAGAAAAATCTGATGATGGAATGTATCTAGATCTGAAACGTCGTAATTAAATATCTACAAAACACTTCATGTTTTTTATTTATTTATTGGATTAATTTAGATTAATATTTAGATTATTGCAACATAAAGTATTCATTTATCATATATATATATATATATATATATATATATATATAATAGGTTGTAAAATATCTCCCTTCCGCCTTTTTGTATTATAAACGAAGAGCAAAAAAGCGGAAGGGAGATATTTAACAACCTAATATATATGTATATTATATATATATATATATATATATATATATATTCTAAACATTATCACTTTGTTTTTAGGAGTGACTTGGATAAAGAATATATTGTGCCAAAGATTTATCGAAAACCTATACTGAAATTTCTTAAGTTCGCAGAACTCAAATTGGGTAAAAAAGATTTAATGAAATTGCGAAAGTTTGAGTAAGTACAGAATTAACAATTTATAATAGATATATATATATATATATATATATATATGGGTCATTCTTTTACAAACCGTACACCAACCATACCTTGATATTTTAGAATCGGCTGAATTTTTTTTTATAGATATTATACATAAAATCATTTGACACGTATTTCAGGATTTTGCCGGCAAAAATTTTTTTTTTGTTGATATTTACGATTGAAATATTGCCGATTTTCTCAATTTTTATGAACTTCCTCTGCATTATGTTAATTATCTTCAGTTGTGTTGATCAGATCAGTATTGTTTTTTTTTATTATATTCATTATGAACTCAACTTTGAAGTAATTTAAAAAAAATAATGTTTTTGCAATTATTTTAACAATAATAACAATTGATTGTTTACATTGGTTTTACATACGGGCGCCCCGACTTAAATCGATTGCGTAAAAAACCATATTGTTTCTTTTTTTATCTACTTTAATATTATTTTTACTATTCGATGGCATGGCTGTTACATCGGAAGATATTAAATGTTTTCGAGCGCAAGTCGCGCCGCGCGTCTCTTTGAAAGGCGCATCGCGCGTATTAAATGAGTACAAGTACTGTTTTTAACTAAAATATTTTACAATTTCGTTACTGAGAAAAAATAAGTAGCAAATATTTTATACAAAATGCTCATATTTTTGAAACTGATAAACTAAAACTTATTATTCGTTGGAATATGAACGAAAGTTAAATTAATTGTATTGGGTAGGTTTGATTTCGTTAAAAAATAAATACAAGAGAATGCGATTAAAAAATAATTCATTTATTGCATTATAATTAAGTTTATATAATATAGCTTCTTTTGATGTACTACATAATGTACATTCCATGTCACAACGTTAACAAGTTGAAAAACAGTTGAATCGCGTTCTTTTTGCAAAGAAAAGTTTTTAGGCCCGCACTTTATTTTTTTCAAGGTATAACACAATGATATTTCAAGGTGCCTTTCACTGTGACTGCATTTTAAAATCTTGTCTTCAATTTTTTATCGGCAACAATATATTATTCACTGGTTACATATTTCGAAGAAATGTTGCAAAGAGACTCATTTGCCCATTCAAATAATTGTTTTAGCGTTTGGATTGGATTTGATGCTCTTTGAAGACTAGCTCTGGCAGCTAGCCTTTTCAAAGTTCCACCCAATCCATCGCAAGCGCCCTTACCGTGTGACGTTGGGAAAAAGTGCCACTCTGCAACCAGACCAAAATCTTTTTCGTGGCAAGTAAGATTTACAAAATTCTTTTTATTTTTATACTGCGCACCCGACCGATCAGAAAAGTATATGATTTTTGTAATTTACTTCAATTCTTTACCAACGAATTCAACTAAATGTTTTTGAAATACATTTAAACCGCTACAGTGTCGTGTTGCAGACATTCTGAAATAATTACTAACCTTTTAACACGAACATTATCGTCATTATCTTTGTAATAAATTTTAAATGCACCGTAGCCCGATTATTATTCCAATAAAATCCTTGAGCAGCATCTTGGACAACGCATGAATTATTTTCTGAAAAATCACACACTACGATGCATTAATTCTGTGATAGTTCTTCCCTTTTTTGTCATAAATTCATTTTGTTTTCTTACAAGAAATGAATGTAATAATTTTTCCAAAGTGGCCTGCAATTTTTGTAGATATTTGTCTACTGGGGATATCATTAATTGCAACATAGTTCTATCAACTATGTCCATTCTCTGTACCTAATTTCGTCAATATAATTTTTCTCAAAAATATTTTCTAATTCTGTGATCAAATTTTCTAGGCCAGGACACTGGGAGCACTTTCCAAAACAACAATTAAATACTACTACATATTTTAGACAATATATTTATTTTTTCTCAGTAAAGAAATTGTAAAATATTTTAGTTAAAAACAGTACTTGTACTCATTTAATACGCGCGATGCGCCTTTCAAAGGGACGCGCGGCGCGACTTGCGCTCGAAAACATTTAATATCTTCCGATGTAACAGCCATGCCATCGAATAGTAAAAATAATATTAAAGTAGATAAAAAAAGAAACAATATGGTTTTTTACGCAATCGATTTAAGTCGGGGCGCCCGTATGTAAAACCAATGTAAACAATCAATTGTTATTATTGTTAAAATAATTGCAAAAACATTTTTTTTTTAAATTACTTCAAAGTTGAGTTCATAATGAATATAATAAAAAAAAACAATACTGATCTGATCAACACAACTGAAGATAATTAACATAATGCAGAGGAAGTTCATAAAAATTGAGAAAATCGGCAATATTTCAATCGTAAATATCAACCAAAAAAAAATTTTTGCCGGCAAAATCCTGAAATACGTGTCAAATGATTTTATGTATAATATCTATAAAAAAAATTTCAGCCAATTCTAAAATGTCACATTTTTTTTTTACCAAAATCCGTACGATTTGTAAAAGAATGACCCATATATATATTTAAATTAATATTTATCATCAGATAAGCTATTGAAAGAAAATATGAAAATAAAAAAAAATAGAATCAAATCTGACAATTTAAAATTTACTAGCTCTTGGTCCATTAATAATTGGACAAACCAGTCATGGTTTAGATTAAACAGTAGCAAGTTTTATGTAAATGACTATATATTAATTATTGCTACTTGCCTTAACGCAAATTTTCATTTACACCTGGTTTAATCAACAATTTTTCAGGAAATTATATGATGTCAATGGAATCGGCATGACGAGAGATAATTACCTCTTTTATTGCACATGCCTGATGTGGATGGAAGAAATTACAGAAGACAGAGAACTTCGGGTAATAATATATATATATATATATATATATATATATATATATTTATATATATATATATATATATTTATATATATATATATATATATATATATATATAAATCTCGTGTAACGATGTTGGTTCGCGATGGACGCCCAAACTACTGAACCGATTTTAAATTTTATTGGCTTATCGTGTGCATATATATCCAACTTAGGTTATAGGAAATTTTGAAAAGTAAATTTAAAATATGAATATATAATTTTTATGAATTTCTAAAAATTTTGACAGAAAATGGCCAAAAAAAAAACAAAACACTAAAATGACAAATGTCAAAATTTAAGGAAATTTTTATAATTTTTGAAAAAAAATTTGACATTTCAAAAAATAAAATTCTAAAACATGTACATATATAGAAATATCCAACATTTAAATCCAAATTTGATGAAATTCTATATTCAAAATCACTGTTTATAGTTTTAAATCTAATTAAAAATCAATGTTTATAAATTTAAATAAATGTAGACACGAAAAAAAGTGAAATGTCATTTGTCAATATTTATGAAAATAATTAGATAAATAATTTTATAATTTATATTTATTTGATTAGCTTACCAAATTATTTCTGAAACCAAAACTTCATCAAAACATTATAGATCAGAGATCACAATAAAAAAGCGGCATATTTAATTTCAAATTAATCATAAACAAAAATTTGACATTTCACAAAAAAAATGTTTAACGACTTCAGTAGGAAACAAATAAATTAATTATTCCAAGTTATGTTATAGGCAATATTGCCAAGCAAATTATAGATACAAAACATTATTGTAAAATAAATATTATCATATTATATTAATTTTGGACCAAGAAGGATATATGAAATTGACATTCACTATTTAATTAAATGCAAAAGTGAATAATCTGATATTTATATTAAAAATTGTATATTTAGATAATGATACTGCGTTGATTTAGACTAATCCATGATGCAAGTGAATTAATTTTGGAAGTATGAAATGTCAAATAATTTTGAAAATTATAACAAGTTTTTAACTGTTTGTCAGAAAGAATATATTTTATTACAAATTCATACCCATATCAAGCACCAAAGTAATAAATACTATTTATAAAATGACATAGTATTTATAGACAATATTTAATGAATATTTTAATTATATTTTTTGACATTTGCTAATTCAAAATAAATTACAAATAATTGAAAACAATGTCATAAATCGGATATTTATGGAAAAATATCAAATAAATATATTTATGTTTCATTTGATTTCAAATAAAGAAAAAACTAATTGCTATGTCAAAATAGATAGTATATTCATCTAAAATTATAGTCTAAATATTACAATTTTGATAAATAATCATCCATTATTTTACAGTACGAAAATTGATAAAAAATTAATAAAATTGCCAAAAATCAAACATTTTATAGTTTTGGACTCGGATTTCTCAGAACTTTATCCATGTTAGTTTCAAGGATAGTATGATGAGTATGAATATCAATTTATAGTCGAAAATTTATATGATAAGTGATTAAAATATTATAGATCACAATAAAAAAGCGACGTATTGAATTTAACATTAAACATAAACAAAATTTTGACAGTTCAAAAAAATGAATTTTTAACGACTTCAATAAGAAACAAATAAATTAATTATTCCAAGTTATGTTATAGGCAATATTGGCAATCAAATTATAGATATAAATTGTATCATATTATATTAAATTTCGACCAAAAAAGGAAATATTTTGGCATTTAATAATTTAGTGAATATTGGATATATGAAATTGACATTAACTATTTAAATTAAATGCAAAAGTAAAAAATCTGATATTTATATAAAGTACTAGCCGGCCCGACAGACTTCGTCCTGTCAAAAAAAATTGTAATGTGGCGGTGTTTTGTGCTTACCTTTTTTCTATTCTTTGCAAAAAATTATCCTGAACAGAACCGTCACCCTGGTATTAATTCGGTGTGAATTAAAAATAATTAAATAAAACAATATAAGCATTTAAAAGTAAGTAATTTTTAATAATGTAAATCATAATTCAAAAATCAGTTCAATTTTCATTGTAGTGCTTTGTGATTAACGATGTTTTTTGTTTGATTACCTGGCGCATAGACAAACAAATCTGATGGTTTTCTAAAACGGAAACAAACAACATACAATTTTCCATGTGAGAAACATGGGTTTTCTAAATTAATACACAAACACTTAATGATACCATAAACGCACGCGAGAACATCTTCTGCTTTATACTATCCTTTGAATATAGTTGGTCGATTTTTTGCAACATTATAATTGCCGATCCAACCCTTAATTGAAGATTGTGAGGTGACAATCCTAGCAAATCCGGCGAGTTTAAAAACTCCGATTGTCTTGGTTAGTTGCCGAATCAACTGTTTCGCCTGTAATTTGTTCTTGAATTTTGAAATTTATTTAATTTACATCAATGTTTTTGGCTGCCAATATAGCTCGTTAATTAATAGAAAGATATTTCTATGTTTATATAAATATATTCAAAATTATATTATCAAAAACTACACAAAATGTCATGACATAGATCATTGTTTTTTTTTTACAAATTGCGTTGCCTACTCGACTAAAGAAGAAAAGGTCTGTTTTTAGGGTTTTCCCGGCAATAATTCGTTTTTTTCTCGCCGTAACAACCATTCTTGGACTTCAACGAACATTTAAAAAAAAGAATTGGCCAAATTGGTCCAGGCGTTGTTGAGTTATGCGCTTACCAACACATTTTGCGATCCATTTTTATATATAAGATTATATATTCAGATAACGGTACTGCTAAAAACTAATTTCTTCATTGATCAAAAAAAAATTTCACTATTTGACATAAATAAAATGAAAATAAACAAAACACTATGATGCGCTGGAATTAATTATCGAAATGTAAAAAAAAAATGTGTAATAAAAATATAGCATTATTATTAATACATCATGTATATTATAAGAACTTCTGCAAAGCGGCAAAATATTTTTGATGGCAAAACAGCGTTTGCCGGGTCAGCTAGTATATATATATATATATATATATATATATATATATATATAATATATATATAGTTTTATACCTATAACTTCTATTACCAATAATTTTTATTCCTTAAAGAAATATAACATGGAAGCGGTAACCATGATCGTGTCTCCCAGTCCCATGAATGCCAATGCCACTCTCGAAGTGCCAGGTTTGGCAGAAAAGAGACCCTCTCTGGTGGTCGGGGACCGGGCACATGTCAGAATCCATCAAGAGGATCCGACTAAATACAGAGGCTGTCGCATCTACGAAGGAGTCATTAGTAAAGTTCTAGACACTGCTATTGAAATCGATGAATTTAATAAAGAGTAAGGCTTTAGATTATTCATACAACATTGGGGAAAAAAAGAATTGCAAAATGTATGTATTGATGTTTGTTGTTTTTTAGCTGAGTGCGGTGGTTAATTTGCTTGCGGAATTTATTATTTTATTTTGGTTGTTTTAAATTATTAACACTTTGCTTGAGTAATGTACTAATATGTACTGCAAAAAGTAATTTAGTCCGTTTGTAGCACCTGTTTTCTTTTTAATTTGTACTTAGTAATTTATTTTGAAGTGGAAGTTTTAAAAAACTTCTAACAAGGTTGTGTTAATGCCCCGTGCTCTCAGAAAGGGTGAAAAAAAAGAGTCTGGGTGAGTTGCAAGTTGTCTGGGTGAGTTGCAAGTCGTCTGGGTGTGTTGCAAGTCGTCTGGAATTCGGCTTTTAATTTTTTTTAAATCAAAGTCAAAAATCGTTCACACACACATACTTTTTCCAAATTTGGTTTCTTCAGAAGAAACGCTTCAGAATGACTTGAAACGTCCAGAAAATATCAAATTAGTCTAAAAATCCATAAATCGGATTTTTTGGCGAAAACATAAGAAAAATAAAAATTTTATGGTGCATTTTTTACAGAGCTAACACTGTATATAACCTTGATCTTGTATTCAACCTTTACTGTATATAAACGTTGCAAGTGTATGTGTATGTATGTTCTCAAAAATGCAATTTGCGATTTTGATGAAACTTGACACATATTGTTACTATACTTTACCAAGATTGTGACTAAAATTTAAAGTTGCAACATTCAATAGTTTCTGAGATATGCGAGGTCGATGGGTGGCTGGCTGGCTCTGCACTCAATACTAACATTTAAATGGATGGTATGCGAGTCGTCTGAGAGTGTTGCAAGTCGTCTGAGAGTGTTGCAAGTCGTCTGAGAGTGTTGCAAGTCGTCTGAGAGTGTTGCAAGTCGTCTGAGAGCGTTGCAAGTCGTCTGAGAGCGTTGCAAGTCGTCTGAGAGCGTTGCAAGTCGTCTGAGAGCGTTGCAAGTCGTCTGAGAGCGTTGCAAGTCGTCTGAGAGCGCTGCAAGTCGTCTGAGAGCGTTGCAAGTCGTCTGAGAGCGTTGCAAGTCGTCTGAGAGCGTTGCAAGTCGTCTGAGAGCGTTGCAAGTCGTCTGAGAGTGAAAGCAAGTCGTCTGAGAGTGAAAGCAAGTCGTCTGAGAGTGTTTTGCAAGTCGTCTGAGAGTGTTTTGCAAGTCGTCTGAGAGCGTTGCAAGTCGTCTGAGAGCGTTGCAAGTCGTCTGAGAGTGAAAGCAAGTCGTCTGAGAGTGAAAGCAAGTCGTCTGAGAGTGAAAGCAAGTCGTCTGAGAGTGAAAGCAAGTCGTCTGAGAGTGAAAGCAAGTCGTCTGAGAGTGAAAGCAAGTCGTCTGAGAGTGTTTTGCAAGTCGTCTGAGAGCGTTGCAAGTCGTCTGAGAGCGTTGCAAGTCGTCTGAGAGCGTTGCAAGTCGTCTGAGAGCGTTGCAAGTCGTCTGAGAGTGAAAGCAAGTCGTCTGAGAGTGAAAGCAAGTCGTCTGAGAGTGTTTTGCAAGTCGTCTGAGAGTGTTTTGCAAGTCGTCTGAGAGCGTTGCAAGTCGTCTGAGAGCGTTGCAAGTCGTCTGAGAGTGAAAGCAAGTCGTCTGAGAGTGAAAGCAAGTCGTCTGAGAGTGAAAGCAAGTCGTCTGAGAGTGAAAGCAGTCGTCTGAGAGTGAAAGCAAGTCGTCTGAGAGTGAAAGCAAGTCGTCTGAGAGTGAAAGCAAGTCGTCTGAGAGTGTTTTGCAAGTCGTCTGAGAGCGTTGCAAGTCGTCTGAGAGCGTTGCAAGTCGTCTGAGAGCGTTGCAAGTCGTCTGAGAGCGTTGCAAGTCGTCTGAGAGCGTTGCAAGTCGTCTGAGAGCGTTGCAAGTCGTCTGAGAGCGCTGCAAGTCGTCTGAGAGCGTTGCAAGTCGTCTGAGAGCGTTGCAAGTCGTCTGAGAGTGAAAGCAAGTCGTCTGAGAGTGAAAGCAAGTCGTCTGAGAGTGTTTTGCAAGTCGTCTGAGAGTGTTTTGCAAGTCGTCTGAGAGCGTTGCAAGCCGTCTGAGAGCGTTGCAAGTCGTCTGAGAGTGAAAGCAAGTCGTCTGAGAGTGAAAGCAAGTCGTCTGAGAGTGTTTTGCAAGTCGTCTGGGTGTGTTTTGCAAGTCGTCTGGGTGTGTTTTGCAAGTCGTCTGGGTGTGTTTTGCAAGTCGTCTGGGTGTGTTTTGCAAGTCGTCTGGGTGTGTTTTGCAAGTCGTCTGGGTGTGTTTTGCAAGTCGTCTGGGTGTGTTGCAAAACGTCTGGGTGTGTTGCAAAACGTCTGGGTGTGTTGCAAAACGTCTGGGTGTGTTGCAAAACGTCTGGGTGTGTTACAAGTGGTTTGGAAGTGTTGCACGTGTATGTATATTATATTCTCAAAAATGCATGTTGCGATTTTGATGAAACTTGACACATTGTTGTTGTACTTTACCAAGATTGTGATCAAAATTTAAAGTAGGCACATTCATTAGTTTCTGAGATATCCGAGGTCGATGGGTGGCGTGTTTTGCAAGTCGTTTCCAAGCGTGTTTTGCAAGTCGTTTCCAAGCGTGTTTTGCAAGTCGTTTCCAAGCGTGTTTTGCAAGTCGTTTTCAAGCGTGTTTTGCAAGTCGTTTCTAAGCGTGTTTTGCAAGTCGTTTCTAAGCGTGTTTTGCAAGTCGTCTGAGTGTATTTTGAGCTATCTGAATGTGTTGTAAGCTTTCTGAATGTATTGTATGCAGTCTGAATGTGTTTAAAGCAATCTATTTTATAAATTGGGTTTAGCACCTGATTAAAATGGTAATTATAAGACGCCATGAATTGCGAATTATGATGTTATAGTATGGATTATAAGTTTTGGATAAAATCTAATCAAATTAACTACTAAAAAAAAGTATCAAATTGGGTGCAATGTGTTTTCAGTAAGTGCTACACAACAAAATACCAACTTATGCAATTTATAATGGCTTCAAATACTCACCAATGCCAAAAAAGTATAACTACTTCACTTCACACACACATTTTTTTGTTTTGTCTCACTTTGTTTTTTGGTAATAAAGACTAATTATTTTGCCTGATATTTTGAATCAACTATGATAATATATTTTAATTTTAATTTGAATATATTATTTTTTAGTTTCCTCGATGAAGTAACGAGCAAGACATTGGTGGATGTCAGATTCATCATGTCTCGTCTCAGATATCAACGGATACACAGGGCTCTGTCTTATTATAACAATTTTGTCGACAGGCTATTTCCACGAGCTTTGGATAGACAGAAGGTTCAGAATGAAAATTTTATTAGGTAATTATGAAAAAGTTTTAAATAGAAGTATGAAAATTTAAAAAAATCGTTTTCTTACAAAAATTTGAGAATATTTCGAAATTTTCAAAAAAATCGAATATTTTCAAAAAAAATCAAATTCTCAAGAAATTAAAAAATTCGAATCGAATATTTTCAAAAAAATTTCAAATTCTCAAGAAATTAAAAAAAAAAAATTTTTTTCAGAAATTTAAAAAAAATTGAACTTTTAAAAAATTAACAAAATTTTGGAAGCAATTCTAAATTATCAAAAAAATCGTTACATACACACAAGTTGTTTGTTATTTATTTAAAACTCTTATTATTATTTTCTTACTTTCATTCCTCGAATGTTTAATTACGGTACGGGAAGTGCCAGCAATTTTCTTTAAGCCACAATGCCGTACACCACTAGTTTAATTTTAATTTCATTAACATTTCAGTTCAAGAGCTCATGGTTCAGGAGATGCAAATAGTAGCAAATCAGTAAATTATGATGACACGAGTACTAGTATATGGTAAATGTTTTTGCTTCATTAATTATAACCTATTTATCATATAATTTCCGAAGTAGAGCTTCTTTAGGCGCGACTAGGAGGTAATTCTACGATATGCAACGGAAGTTGGTTACGCCTGACTTTCGCAAATCCTGATTCGTCATTCGCCGATGACGTCATCTAGAGAGTTGACGCGATTGGTCGCACGGGAAAATCGTTATGTTTTATTGTCATGATGAAATTGAAATGTCAGGCAAAGAAGTTCTGCTTCAATTGAGTGTAAACTTTTTTAATAACTATTTATATATTTATCTGCAGTAATGGTATCCCAAATGGTGAAGGCGAAAATTGGGAAATATCAACGTCACCGAAGAAAAAGCAAAGAAATAGAATATACAGGGAAAACAGAAGTAACAGTACTAGCAAATGGATTACTGAATTCGAGTAAGTCAAGTTTGTAACTGATAATTGTAATGTAATTAACTTCCTGTAGGATGAGTTACTGTAATTGCAAACATATTGAACATTTTTTAAATCATTAGCAACTTTTTACACTTTACGATTTTTTTCTAATTCCACAAAACTTTCTAAATTTATCATCCAGGCAACTTTTGCACTTTTAGACATCTTTTACCAATTTCTCCAACTTCCAGGCAATTCTGAATCGCTTTAAGGCATTTTCAAATCTCAGGCAGCATTTTGTTTTTATTTTCAGGTACCTTTCTTTTAATTTTCAGGCATCTTTTTTAAAATTAATTCAATTATTATTAAAGCTCGGGCAACGTTTTACGCTTTCAAGCACTTTTCTAATTCTAAAGATTTTATGAATTCCATACAAAATTCTTTGAAGCTTAGGCAACTTTTTTTTCAAATTTCAGGCAACTTTCTTTTAAATTTCAGGCATTTTTTTTTAAATCTCACGCTACTTTTTTATTCTTTCGAAAATTCATATATTATGTCAGACAACTTTTTTGTAAATATTTTGTTAGTGTTTTGAAATTTTTGTCGACGATTTCGAGAACACGGTTCATCCGATTTGAATGATTCAAAAAATTCGATTCCTATTGATAAGGAGACGTACTGATTAGTTTCTAGCGAAGGCAGGTCCAGCCGTTCCGAAGATACGGGGCAATTTTTTTTTAAAAAAAGTTAATTTTTGATACAAGTTGGAGCAATTATCTCGGCATTTACGCGCTTTGATATTTTGTCTCTAAAACAGCTGCTTTGAAAAAAAAGTTGTAAATCCACATTTTTTTTCAAAAATTTCGAAATTATTAAATCCATCTCTTTTTTTAACCCTCCGTCGGTCGGATATTTTTTCACCTTCGAACGGTCGGAAAGGTCTGGCTGGACCACCATTCATTTTACATGCATTTATATGGGATAAATGAGTTTTTGGTGTCTTATGTATTAACGATTATATAAAAAAAATCAAGAAATATAAAAAAATCGTTGCTTTTTTGTTAATTTTTCTGTTTTAAATCAATGAAAAACAATATTTATTCTTTTTCGGCGCCTTTGAAATGAATGTGTGCATTACTCATCCGATTCTCAGTGTTTGCGATTACCAATAAGTTTGGTAGGTTTTCAAGGAACTCTCGTCATGAAAATACTAACATTCATGTTAGAACACATAGCAAAGAATATAAACAACGCAGTTTGAATAGAAAATACCATGAAGAAAGACAAAATACTGGTTTACATATATCAAAAAGCGTACATTTCATACAAAATGTATGGGTGGTCTAGACAGACCTTTCCGACCGTTCGAAGTATAAAAAAGTTAATATCCTTATAATTATCCTTCTGTACAATTTTTCGTCCAGATTTTTTCATTGATCGACAGCCAATGAAATTTTAGGAAAAGTCAAGAAATTTCAAGTCGATAGGATTACTAGAAGCATTTTTTTTTTTAATTGAAGTCGAAAAAAGTCTGGCCAGACCACGCCGACCGACGGAGGGTTAAATTTGAAGCTTTTAAAAATTTTAAATTACGCTGCCGGGAAGTTCCAGCAATTTGCCTTAAGGCACGATGCCAATTATTTTGGAATTTAAATTTTGGATTTTAATTTTTATTTAACTAAATTTCTAACGCCACTTATATACTTTAAATAAATAATTTTAACTTTGCATTTCAGTTTATATAATTCTTATAAATATGAGATAATATTAAATATTTTATTTATAAAATACGAATAATGAAAGTTACAGTATATATAATAATCTTTTATTAATATTACTATTATTATTATTATATTATCTTATTATTTCTGATATTGTTATTTTGTTATATTATATTTATTATTATCTGTCACAGTATTGTTTTAATTTCACTTTATTGTTTTTCTAGTATTATTTTTATTATTCAGAAATTTTATTTATTTTATTAACTTCCCGTAGGGTAAGTTATTGTAATGGGCCGAAAATCGGAATTGAGAATTTTTACATTTCTCGACGTTTTGAAGGTTTCTGAACGTTTTGGCATACCTCAGAAAAAATGGATGTGTGTGTGTGTGTGTGTGTGTATGTATGTATGGATACAAATTTTCGCCCAAGTTTTCGGGCGTACGGATCAACCGATTTGATTGGTTCAAAAAACATTCGATTCCTATTGATAGGGAAAAGAGCTGATTAGTTTTTGGCAAAGGCAGGTCCAGCCGTTTCGGAGATACGGAGCAAAGAGTGCAGAAAATAGAAATCGAATTTTTGAGGGAACAGAGTATCCGATTTGAATGATCTAAAAAACATTCAATTAGTAATGATTGGGAGAAGTGTTTATTAGTTTTTGGCAAAGGCAGGCCCAGCCATTTTGAAGATACGGAGCTAAATATGTAAAAAATGGCAATTTTTGAGAGAACTAAGCGTCCGATTTAAATGATTCAAAGAACTTTCTGCTTGTCTTAACAAAATAATTGATTTTGGAAAAAAAAATTTTGTTCCATTTTTTTTTTTTAGTTTTTTGTATATCAAAAATATTTCAGTTTTTATTACTTTACAAATAATTTCAACTCTGCAATTCAGTTTATATAATTCGTATAAATATTAGACAATGTTACAATATTTATAATAATCTATTTGAAAACATTCAGTATTCCTCGAACATTTCGTTACGGTACGGGAAGTTTCAGCAATTTGCCTTAAGGCACGATGCCATAATTGCCTCAAGACAGAATTCCACTTACAGCTAGTTTATTAATTTTATTATTATCATTATTTGCTTTTATTTTATATTAAATCATCATAATACGGATATCATTTCAATGAAAATACTCTCTTTTAGTTTACTCTTTTTTTATTTAAATTTATGTTAAATTGTTACTAGATATTAAATTATTTAACAATTATAACAGATATTATAATAAAAAAAATCATTTAGTTACAAAAAGTTCCAGTAATTTCCACTACTTACAATTTTCGTTTATATTTTTTCTATTTCAGTTACATGAACAAGCTAATTTGTGACAACAAGGAACAGAAAGTGGCCATCGAGAACATTGTGAACAAATCCTCAGGCATTGCTCCTTATATTCTATTCGGGCCACCTGGTACAGGCAAAACTGTAACGATTGTTGAAGCTATTGTGCAAATAATCAAACACGTTGAGAATCCTAAAATATTGGTCTGTGCACCTGCAAATATGGCATGCGATATGCTGACTTGTAAATTGAGACCGTACTTTAATCGAGGGGAACTGATTCGGATACATTCGGCTAACAGAGAATTGTAAGTGGAAACTGTAATTGTTAATATATATATATATGTATATATATATATATATGTATATATATATATATATATATATATATATATATTATAAATACTAGCTGACCCGGCAAACGTTGTTTTGCCATAAAAAATATGCCTAAATTGATAAAAAATTAATAAAAGTGCCAAAAATCAAATATTTAATAGATAGTTTAAAACTTGTTATTATTTTCAGAATTATTTGACATTTCATACTTTAAAAATTAATTCACTCGCATCATAGTTTTTTGTTCATTATACTTTTGTCATGTCATATATGTCAATAAAATTTTCTTTCAAATATTATTTATTTGTTAACAAATTAATAATTATTTTAAGTCATCAATGAATAATTATATAATTGTTAAATTCATAAGTTTGACTAAATCAACACAGGAATATTGTGGAAATAAATATTTTTTTACATAAAGATCTGATTTTTACATTTGCATTTTATTTCAAATTAATTATAACTGTCAAAATATTTTTAATATAATATGATATAATATTTAGTTTGTCTAGTTTGTTTTTATCAGATTCCAATGATACCCTCAGATTGTACTATTCCATTTAAGAGGTTACAATTTCCTGTAAGATTAGCATTTGCGATGACAATCAAAATATATCTTAACTGATATATTAATAATAATATTATATTTTAATTACACAAATTACTTTAGACTCCGATAAATAATTCCAACGAATCATAGTGTTTTGTTTATTTTAATTTTGTTTATGTCAATTTTCTTTTTAATTAAAGGATAAATTAAATTTTAGTCTAAATCAACGCAGTATCTTTATCTAAATATACAATTTTTTATATAAATATTTGATTCTTTACATTTGCATTTAATTGAAAAATAGTGAATGTCAATTTCATATATCCAATATGCACTAAATTTATAAATGTCAAAATATTTCCTTCTTGGTCCAAAATTAATATAATATGATAATATTTATTATACAATAATGTTTTGTATCTATAATTTGCTTGGCAATATTGCCTATAACATAACTTGGAATAATTAATTTATTTCCTTCTTATTGAAGTAAGTCGTTAAACATTTTTTGTGAAATGTCAAAATTTTGTTTATGATTAATTTTAAATTCAATATGCCGCTTTTTTATTGTGATCTCTGATCTATAATGTTTTGATGAAGTTTTGGTTTCCGAAATAATTTGGTAAGCTAATCAATTAAATCTAAATCGTAAATCTATTTATATAATTATTTTTATAAATAGTGACAAATCACATTTAATTTTTTTACATGTCAAAATTTATTCAAATTTTTAAGCATTGATTTTTAATTAGATTTAAAACTATAAAGTGATTTTGAATATAGCATTTCATCAAATTTGGATTTAAATGTTGGATATATCTATATATGTACATGTTTTTGAATTATATTTTTTGAACTGTCAATTTTTTTTTTCAAAAATCATGAATTTTTTTTTCTCGAATTTTCCATAATTTTTGACATTTGTCATTTTAGTGTTTTGTTTTTTTGGCCATTTTCTGTCAAATTTTTTAGAAATTTATAAAAATTATATATTTATATTTTAAATTTACTTTTCAAAATTTCCTATAACCTAAGTTGGATATATATGCACACGATGAGCTAATAAAATTTAAAATCGGTTCAGTAGTTTGGGCGTCCATCGCGAACCAACATCGTGACACGAGATTATATATATATATATATATATATATATATATATATATATATATGTATATATATATATGTATATACTTATATTTTTTCAGTGATTCCATACCCAAAGAGATATATGCGTACAGCAATTTGGAATTAGATCCAATTAATGGAAAAGCTTGCGGGGCTGTCCAAGTCAAAACTTCTGCATTGTGTAGTGGCAATTACAAAGTTGTCGTCTGTACGTTGATGTTGGCAGGAAAATACACAAAGTAAGTAATACATTTAAAATATTTGTGTTATGATGTTAATTATTTACTTTGCGTAGTGTAAGTTATTGTAATCGTCCAAAAATCGAAATTGAAAATTTTTACATTTCTTTTGCCTTAAGGAACAATGCCATTCACATCTAGTTTTCCTCACTTTCTTTCTTTCAGACCGACTAAGTTTTTGAGAGACGAAGATCTTAAATTCACACACCTCGTCATTGACGAAGCAGCTCAATCGATGGAAACAGAAACTCTGATACCATTGGCTGGACTCTTGAAGGAAGACGGTCAAATGATATTGGCTGGTGACCCGAAACAACTGGGACCCATCTGCCAGAGTCATACCGTTAAGAACATTGGACTGGGTAATTGAGATTTTATGCTATTCATATGTATTAGGGAATGCAATACCGGTATACCGGATTACCGGTAAACCGTCCGATTTTTCGGCGGTATTTTTAACGGTATTTATTCCAAAAATACCGGTATTTTCGGTATTTTTACATAAGCGCTATTTGATAAGAGTATCAAGTCGCAGTCTTTTTGACAGTAGCTCATTGTACGGTTGTGCATGTATTGGTGTGTAAGAACACTGCGAAGTTGGCTGTGTAAAATTCAAGTCTGCCGACCATAATTGTGCTTCGCGCATGGGAATATCAAATTTGTCATGTCGTTCTTAATGGCCTTCTCGATCGGTACGAATTTTCTTTTTTTCTTTGAGTAGTGTTGTAGATAGAGGTTAGACCAGTTTTATTATAAGATTTTTATGTGAATGGAGTTTATCAATCATATTATTTGTTTTTTTATCTTATGTTTTTTCGATATAGGTGCTTAGGCTAAATGTCAAAGATAGGTTAAATATTTCTTTTAAATAGGTTAGGTTGTGTATTGTTTATTTCACCTTTAATAAAGATTTCATTACAATTATGCATTTCATTGTTTTTGTTTAAATCCCATATGAAATATCAATAATATATCAGTAAAGTCAATAATGTACTGACAAATTTACAAGTCATACAAATTTATGTTATGTTGAATTTTAATAAAATATTCAATCAAACTTGAGAAAAAAATTAAACTGTTTATAAATATTCATACATACGAATTATATATATGCATGATATATTTCATGCAAGTCAAAATCAAATACTATATGACCATTTGTCAATATAATGTTAGGTTAAATATAACTTAGATAGCCGCATCATTCTACATATTACTGTTCGTGATTTTTGTTGATCTTTGTTGTTGGTACACCTACATTCTTGACATTTTCATGAAATCTTCTTTCTCTTTCGTTTGACCGTACAATGAGCAAGGTCACAAACTTCAAAAAGGCTGCGGTAATCCGCGTGTCTATTTGATACATAACACCCTAAAGTTTAAATTTCTCGGAACAAATTCATCTTTAAATTCCCTAATCGCATAAACAGCTATATCTTCTAGTGATTCTATAGGATAAACAAATGTCGAATATTATCTCAACTCGTCAATAAACTGAATATTTATTGCTTTCCAAAGGGCTTCATATCATGTTACAATAAATAGAATTGGACTGATAGATAATGATGTTTGTTTCATCTTATGTAAAAATGTAACGTTTTTTCAAGTGATATTTGCGCCAAAATATTTTATATCATACAGATTACTCCTGCGTATTTTTTATTTTTTTTTTTAGCTTTTTTTTTAACATAATCATAATAATTATAAAAACTGAATCCAACTTCAATAATCTAAATATTTTACTAATTAAATACTGAAAACAAGTATACAGTATTAAAGTTAAAATTGTTCACTATAATTAAGCATTTGTATCTGATGTATTTTAAAAACAAGAATCTCTAATTTTTTAAAATTTTGTGATTAATTATTATTGTTGATTTATTATCTCATCATTTAAAATAAAGTTAAGCAAAGGGTCTCAAAAAATAACACCGCAAATAAAATGTTCTTTATATATTGGCAAACAAATATTGAAGGATTAACTATGTTTGTGTATGTGTAATTATAAGAATTCATTGTAAGGTTTTTGTAAAAATATTATAAAATAAAATTATAAAATAATAATTATGATAATTACTAAATATTTTTGCTTCTTATTACAATTATAAAATATTATTTTTCGAAAACGTTTTAAAGTTTGAAAATACTATAGAAGCATCACATTGTTTTGAATAACAATCCTCAATAATCATAGTAGCTTATTATTTATCTCGACAAAGAATCCGATCTTAAATTATTGTAGAAAAATTATTTTTTTTAAATTTTGGTGATTATGCTAATTTAACACATCGGATACAGGAAATACAGTTTATTATAATAATGTAATATGATCTTTTTGAGTTTTTGGTCTTTCTTACTCATAAGTTTGTTTTTGGTGAAAAGTACTCAATATACTGATAGTGAAGTGATAATGAATTAAATATATTGGATATAATTTTTTTAAATTGTTAAAAATTACCGAAATACCGGTATTGAAATTTTCCATCGGTATTGCATTCCCTAATATGTATTATATTTAAATTTGTCTATCATTATTGTTTAGGTATATCGTTGATGGAAAGGTTGATGTTGACCAATAAACTGTACGAAAGCAAAGCCGGACACAGAGATGAAAAGTACATCACAAAACTGGTTAAGAACTTCCGTTCCCATCCTGATATTATTAAAATACCAAACAAATTTTTCTATGATAACGAACTACAGGTAATATTAAAATCTAATTATCCCAAGTATAAATTTTTCAGATATATTTTTTTACAGCCTTGTTCGAAAAAAGCATTATCGGATCCTATTGTCAAATGTGATGTGTGGGATGAGTTATTATTCGGTGGAGAAGCTATCGAATTTTATGGAGTCTCGGCTAGTGAATGTAGACAAGGACACTCACCGAGGTAGGTTGAAATATATATAAAGGAGCACAAAATAATAGTAAGTAGATGAAACTCAACTTTGTTGATGTTGATGTTGATGTTGAAATGAAGATAAAGAGTGGGAGAAATTGATTTTTAGTGAATTTTCCACGCAATCTACAACATTTTAAGACCATCCACAATATTTTCTGAGAATTTAGAACATTTTTTGTGAATATACAACTTTTTTTTGTCAATTTCCAACATTTTTGAATCTGCAACAACATCTTTAAACCACTTACAGTTGTTTGAACTACTTACATTGGATTACATGTTGGAGCACACACAAAATTTTTGACTTTGTTAATAAATTAATTAAAATATTTTCAGTGAAGATTTGCAACATTGTTGGACAATTTGCTATTTTGTTAGATGACTTGCATCACTTTTAGTTCATTTCTAACACTTTTCCATTGACCATTTTCAACATTTTTAGACCATTTTGAGGCGAGTTACAATATTCTGAGACGAGTTGCAATATTTTGAGACGAGTTGCAATATTTTGAGACGAGTTGCAACATTTTGAGACGAGTTGCAATATTTTGAGACGAGTTGCAATATTTTGAGACGAGTTGCAATATTTTGAGACGAGTTGCAATATTTTGAGACGAGTTGCAATATTTTGAGACGAGTTGCAATATTTTGAGACGAGTTGCAATATTTTGAGACGAGTTGCAATATTTTGAGACGAGTTGCAATATTTTGAGACGAGTTGCAATATTTTGAGACGAGTTGCAATATTTTGAGACGAGTTGCAATATTTTGAGACGAGTTGCAATGTTTTGAGACGAGTTGCAATATTTTGAGACGAGTTGCAATATTTTGAGACGAGTTGCAATATTTTGAGACGAGTTGCAATATTTTGAGACGAGTTGCAATATTTTGAGACGAGTTGCAATGTTTTGAGACGAGTTGCAATGTTTTGAGACGAGTTGCAATGTTTTGAGACGAGTTGCAATATATTGAGACGAGTTGCAATGTTTTGAGACGAGTTGCAATGTTTTGAGACGAGTTGCAATATTTTGAGACGAGTTGCAATATTTTGAGACGAGTTGCAATATTTTGAGACGAGTTGCAATATTTTGAGACGAGTTGCAATATTTTGAGACGAGTTGCAATATTTTGAGACGAGTTGCAATATTTTGAGACGAGTTGCAATGTTTTGAGACGAGTTGCAATATTTTGAGACGAGTTGCAATATTTTGAGACGAGTTGCAATATTTTGAGACGAGTTGCAATATTTTGAGACGAGTTGCAATATTTTGAGACGAGTTGCAATATTTTGAGACGAGTTGCAATATTTTGAGACGAGTTGCAATATTTTGAGACGAGTTGCAATATTTTGAGACGAGTTGCAATATTTTGAGACGAGTTGCAATATTTTGAGACGAGTTGCAATATTTTGAGACGAGTTGCAATATTTTGAGACGAGTTGCAATATTTTGAGACGAGTTGCAATATTTTGAGACGAGTTGCAATATTTTGAGACGAGTTGCAATATTTTGAGACGAGTTGCAATATTTTGAGACGAGTTGCAATGTTTTGAGACGAGTTGCAATATTTTGAGACGAGTTGCAATATTTTGAGACGAGTTGCAATATTTTGAGACGAGTTGCAATATTTTGAGACGAGTTGCAATATTTTGAGACGAGTTGCAATGTTTTGAGACGAGTTGCAATATTTTGAGACGAGTTGCAATATTTTGAGACGAGTTGCAATATATTGAGACGAGTTGCAATGTTTTGAGACGAGTTGCAATATTTTGAGACAAGTTGCAATATTTTGAGACGAGTTGCAACATTTTGACACGACTTCCAACGTTTTCAGACGACTTTCAACACTTTTTGAATTTTTTGGGCAACTTACAACGTTTTTGGCCAACCTGCAACACTTTTAGACGACTTGCAACGTTTTCAGATGATTTGAAACACTTTTGGACGACTTGCGACTTTTCCAGGCAATTTATAACATTTTCAGAGCGAATTTGCAACATTTTCAAACCGTGTACAACACTTTTAGACGACTTGCAACATTCTTAGATAACTTGCAACATTTTCAGACAACTTGCAACACTTTCAGACAACTTGCAACATTTTCAGACGTCTTGCAACACTTTTAGACGACTTGCAACACTTTTTGAAGTTTTTTGGGCAACTAACAAGGTTTCGGGCAACCTGCAACATTTTTATATAATTTACAACACTTCCAGATAATTTGCAACACTTTTAGATAATTTGCTTTTAGATCGTCCTTCGCTTTTAGACTGTTTTCAACGCTTTTAGACTATTTTCAACACTCTTTAGACCATTCTCAACACTTTTTGGACCATTCTCAACACCTTTTGGACCATTCTCAACACTTTTTGGACCATTCTCAACACTTTTAGACCATTCTCAATACTTTTAGACGCCTTGCAACATTTTCACTCAACTTACAAGAATTTTAGAATGTTTTCAGACATCTTACAAAGGCTTTGGACAATTTGCAATGGTTTCAACTAGTCTGCAACACTTTTAGAAAATTCTCAACATTATAAACAATCATCAATTTGGAATGTTTTTAGATTACTTAAAACTTTTTGGAAATTTATCATGATTTAAGGAAATTTGCAACATTTTCAAACTGGTTGCAACGTTTTAATAACTAATTATAAGATTTTATAAAGATATTACAACATTTATACAGCGATTTTTCTCTTTGTTGTTTTAGTATGATATAATATTGAAAATTTATCAAATGATTGTTTTCCAGTTATTTCAATATGATGGAGAAGGACGTTGTCATAAAATACGTACAGAAATTACTCAATGAATTTGGAAATACGAGAAGAATGAATCCCCCAGTAAGAGGAACTGACATTGGGATCATATCGCCTTACATTAAACAGGTGGGTAATGTATTTCTAATTATAATCATATATAATAATAAGTAGTAAAATGCAAGTCCGTTGAGCATAACAAACCACAAATCTGTAATTGTTATCGGTCCAATTTTTCCAGACTTTCATAGAGCCCATGTCTCCGATCCATGGTAAATGATACACGATAAATGTTCATAGCCTCTTTGTCGGTTGCTTCAATACTTTTAAACCTTTAGAAATGAATTTGTGCTTTTATATAAATCTTTTTCCAATTGATATTTTATTTATCTAGGTGTACAAAATCAAAGTTTCATTACAAAGGATGGGAGGCCAATTCAGAGACATTGAAGTTGGCAGTACGGAAGCATTTCAAGGACGAGAGAAACGAATCATGATCATATCTACGGTCAGAGGACGATCCGAATTACTCGAGTACGACAAAAGATACAATCTTGGGTTCTTGGTTGATGAAAAGGTAAGAAATAGAACTAGTTGAAAGTGCATTTTGCCTTAAGGCAAGTAGCTGGAACTTTCCGTACCCAAAAATCAATTTTTTAAAAAAGATAAAAACATTTTTTTAGAACTTTAAAAAAACAGATTTTTGAGAAATTTGAAATTTTCTAAAAAAACTTTTTTGGAAAAAATAAATGTTTTTTTTATTTTGAAATATTTTAAAAGTTTTGAACAAATTTTTGATTGGAATTTTCCAAATCAGTTGATCGGTATTCCCGAAATCGTCGACGAAAAATTGTATCCGCACACGCACACACACACATACATCACTTTTTGCTAAAGTATGCCAAATTTTCATTTTCGATTTTTTTTTGGTGATTACTATAACGTACCCCACGGAAAGTTAAAAATAGAACTAGTTAAAAGTGGCATTTTGCATTAAGACAAGTTGCAAAACTTTTTGATAGGGGTAATAATAAGGAGACCATAAGTATCCGGTTTGGCGGGGACAGTCCCAGATTTCCACCCTGTCCCGGGTTTTTCTAGAAACAATATTTGTCCCGGATTTTCGAAATTTTCGAAAAGCAATAGGTAGGTCTAAACTGACTCGGTAGCTCTTACATGACAATAAAATTACAACTATCCATCAAATATCTAATGTTATTAACTTCCCGTAGGGTAAGTTATAGTAATCGCAAAAAAATCGAAAATGAAAATTGTTATATATCTTTACGTTTCAGAGGTTTCTTAACATTTTGGCATACCTTGAAAAAAAATTATGTATGTATGTAATGGATGAGTGTGTGCGTGTGTGTGTGCGTGCGGATACAAATTTGTGTCGACGATTTCGGGAACACGGTTCAACCGATTTGAATAATTCAAAAAACATTCGATTCGTATTAATAAGGAGACGTGTTGATAGTTTTTGGCAAAGGCAGGTCCAGACGTTATGGAGATACGGGGCAAAAAGCGCCAAAAACGGTAACTATGTTTTTAAGAGAACGGAGCGTCCGATTTTAATAATTCAAAAAACATTTTACTTGTATTGACATGATAAAGAATTGATCAAATTTTCATAAAGGCAGGTCTAGCGGTTTCGGAGATCTAACGAAAAAAGTAAAAAAAAATGCCATTTGGCGGTCAAAAATGATCATTAGACATATGCACATCAAATGATCAGATATTTTATAGAGATTTTAACAATAAGTATAAATTTTGTTTACATTCCTATGGGTTCCGTACAAATGTTTATCCGTTAGACAGCAACGCGGCGCTTACGCGCTTTATATTTTGTCTCTATGCAGTTAAAGCAGTACGATTGCTTTGAAAAACAAGTTCAGATCTTCCAAAATATGTCAAAATAAAGAAAACATTTTTTTTTTCAAAAAAAAAAAATTAAAAAAATTTTTTTTTAAAAAAAATTTAAAAAAAAAAAATTTTTTTTTCAAAAAAAAGTAATTTTTTGTCCAATTTATAGTTTCTCAAAAATCTTATTTTTTCGAAGTAAATTTTTTTCAAAAATGTTAATCGTTTTTAAAAAAAATAATAATTTTTGGTACGGGAAGTTCCAGCAATTTGCCTTAAGGCACGATGCCCTAATTGCCAATGAAACTACAATGAAAAAGACTATTAAAATAGCTTCTCACATCCATAATTTGAATATTTATTTTCAATTTTATGAAAATTAACAAAAATTGTGAAAATGAACTTCTGACTGCCTGGAATAAGTGTTAATTATTTTTAAATAATTACGAAGAAATTTTTAAAAAAATTTAAGTTTGAAATCTGAAAAAACATATATCCAAAAATATAAGATGAATTATAGCATATAATTGAATCATAAAGTTCTTAATCAGTAATTCTGATGTTAAAGGAACTACTCATATAAAATTAGATTTTTATTGCATTCTTAAATAGTTATTATTTTAAAATTATATTAATTTTTTTATGATTTTGCTCGTCAGTAGAGTCCTTTTTCACTTTATCTTTCATTAAATTTTCGCTCGTCAGTAGTCCTTTTTGTACGACATGTTTGAAAAACGCAGTTTGCTCGACAGTATAGTCTCTTTTTATTATTTTTCATTTTAGTTTGGTCATGAGTGGATAAACTCTTTGTCTTGTACTTTAATTTTCTCGTCAGTAGAGTTCTTTTCCTGATTTATTTTCGGATTATGTAGTTTTCTCAACAGAAGAGTTCCTTTTGTCTACTTTATCTTGTACCTGAATTTGGTCGTCAGTAGAGTCTCTTTTTAATTCGTCTTGTAACTTTAAGTTGCTCATCAGTAGACTTTTTTAACTTCCCCAAGGAGAAGTTTGTTTTCCCATTTTTTTTTAATACGCAGTTTGTTCGTCAGTAGAGTCCTTTTTTATTTTATCTCTTGTTCTAGTTTGCTTGTCAGCAGAGTCCTTTTTATACCCTATATCTGTTATTCACAGTTTGCTCGTCAGTAGAGTTCTTTTTACGTGAAGCCTTCAGGAGAGAGAGGAGTTTGACAAAAAATAACGATAAAATCCCATGGAATCACTTCCATTTAGTTTAGTTTGATACAACGAGGTATATAAGAGGTTTAGTAAGATACAACGTATTTATTTTTTACCTAAATTTTGAAAAAAATACAAATTTTACGATTCTTTAGTAAATTCGAAAAATTTGTTCGAAAAATGTTACGTAACTAAAATACACGATTTAGAGGGGCTTGGGGGGTAATTTTGAACATCACGACGTATCATAAAGGGGGGGTGGAAAAGTTCAAAAATCCCTAACAAATCGATCACGTGATTAATGGACGCTTCTTTAGTTTGCTTATCAGTAGAGTCCTTTTTGTACCATAAGTTGTTTGCTCTGTCTGTAAAGCCCCTTTTACGTTTTGTATTTTAGTTTCGTCGACAGTAGAGTCACTTTATACTTTTAAGACAACAAGTAGATCTAATCTTTAAAAATAATTATTGGTTTCTGAACAGAAAGTCAGAATTATCAATTTAGAACAAATTACTTATATATAAGGCGGTAGTCAAACCCGTGTGGACCTACGGATATGAACTTTGGGTACTGCTAGAAAGTGCAATTTAAACATAATACAACGAGCACAAAACAAATTCCTGCGGCAAATATTAAACGCTCTGTTTTTTTAAATTCGGTCTCAAACGATTCACAATGACTTGGAACGTCGAGAAAACATAAAATTAGCAAATTGGATTTTTTGACGAAAACATTTACTTTTTCTTTGATAATTTAACCATTCTATCTGTCTATCTATATCACCCTTCTTTTTACCCTTTCAGAGATTCAACGTAGCACTGACAAGAGCCAAAAGCAAACTGATAATCGTGGGTAATCCCCTGTGTCTAACCTACAACGAATATTGGCTCTCGTACATCGCAGAGTGCGACAGTTTGAAAAGATATTTGGGCTATCGACACGAAAAACGTAATTCGGTTGTTATGGACTACATTGAAAGGAATCTGCGAAAGATTAAAATCAGGGAAGAAATACACGAACAACCGGCTGCTGATGGTGCTGGTGGTTCTGGTGGTGCCACTTTGGTCAACGGCCAGTGATAAAAAATTGTGATTGATAAGTATAAAAGATATATATATATATATATATATATGTAAAAAATTTATAATTATTATAAACTGTATAAATATTTAATAAGGAAATTTATACTTTTTATACTACACATTTGGTTGTTTTTCTATAATCTATTTCGTTGACAAAATTCGGTCAATGATGTCTAACACTAAGTAGAAGTCTTTTAGTCCGCATTTCTCAGAATCGATCACCATGTCGGACTATCGATAATTCCGGACTATCGGACAGTAATTATAAAAATAATTAGGTTAATAACAAAGGTCCACAAAACAAAAGTTATTTGTATTCGTACTTTTTACTGTTTGAGCACGAATCTAAATTTATAATTGGGGTCAAATGGCAAAAAAATGAAAAAAACATAATAGACTTGTGTATAGGGTGGTCCTTAATATGGACATTTTCGAATTTCCTTGCCCCCAAGGGCTTAAATCGTTCCAAATTGATAAAAAACAATTTTCTGCAAGTTTTAGCTTTTAATATTAACTTTTACATAGAGCGCAATTCAATCAAACTCCGTAAGGAAATGAGCGTCGAATTTTCAATAAAAAATGACACGAATTTTCACTTTTAATTCAATTATCGCTAAGTTATACTTTATATATATATATATATATATATATATATATAATCATATATATATGAAAAATTTATAATTGTTATAAATTATATAAATATTTAATAGGAAATTTATACCTTTTATACCCATTTTCAAAAATTTAGCAGAACGTCGAATTTTCAATAAAAAATGACCCGAATTTTCACTTTTAATTCATTTGTCGCTAAGTTATACTTTGTATATATATATATATATATATATATATAAAATTTATAAAATTTATAATTGTTATAAATTGTATAAATATTTAATAAGGAAATTTATACCTTTTATACTCATTTGTTTGTTTTTTTTTTATAATTCATTTCGTTAACAAAATTCGGTCTTTTATACTCATTTTCAAAAATTTAGCAGAACGTCGAATTTTCAATAAAAAATGACCCGAATTTTCACTTTTAATTCATTTGTCGCTAAGTTATACTTTGTATATATATATATATATATATATATATATATATATATAAAATTTATAAAATTTATAATTGTTATAAATTGTATAAATATTTAATAAGGAAATTTATACCTTTTATACTCATTTGTTTGTTTTTTTTTTATAATTCATTTCGTTAACAAAATTCGGTCAATGATGTCTAACACTAAGTAGAAGTCTTTTAGTGCGGCTTGTTCGAGAAAGACACCTGTGTCGGACTATCGAAAATTCCGGACTATCAGGTGGTAATTATAAAAATAATTAGGTCTTTCAAAAATTTATTTTAAATCCATACGTTTCGGCTATAATCCTAACCTTCATTCAGTGTAAACTAAAAATAAAATTAAAAACTAAAACAATTGAATTGGAGGGAAAAAAAAAATAAAAAGAGTAAATAGTACTTACAATTAGTTAATCTTAGTGTTAAATTGGAAAATTTTAATAATCCGTGGTATCAGGATATGGTAATGCACTACACTATGTATTATAAACGTTAAACTTGCAATTACACAATATTTTCACAAAATATTAATTTAAAAAATCACAATTGGATAATGTGTTGTTCGTAGACTGGTTGATGTGAAGATATAATGGAGAAAAGACTTTTTAAAAAATATTTTTTACCAAGATTCTACACATGTGTGGAACGAATTGCGAATCCTTTGCGCGTCGTTTTTATTATTTCGTGAGAAATTTGGAAATACTATCTAAATAAAAGAGATTTGTTCGCACAGCGTGTTAAGTTCATTCCGTTTATTTATTGTTTTATTGTTGTAAATAGTTAAAAAAGATCCTTCTATAATTATTCGTTTGAATAAATTTTGTTCGAATTGTAGTACAGTCGGGTTATAAAAGTCCATATTGTGTTTTAAAGTAAAAATATGCTGTGCAATCATAGTTTTAAATTATCTCGGATTTTTTTAATTGTTTTTATGTTGTTGTAAACGTTTCATTAAGTTCTGGTTTGTTTTTCCTATGTAAATTAAAAAACAATCTAGACAATTAATTTGATAGACGAAATTTCTAAGTCGTTCGATATTAAAAGGGGTTTTTGTTTTGGTAAAAATAGTACTAGTCATTGTGTAGAATCTTGGTAAAAAATAGTTTTTAAAAAAGTCCTTTCTCCATTATATCTTCAACCAGTCTACGAACAACACATTATCCAATTGTGATTTTTTAAATTAATATTTTGTGAAAATATTGTGTAATTGCAAGTTTAACGTTTATAATACATAGTGTAGTGCATTACCATATCCTGATACCACGGATTATTAAAATTTTCCAATTTAACACTAAGATTAACTAATTGTAAGTACTATTTACTCTTTTTATTTTTTCTTTTCACTCCAATTCAATTGTTTTAGTTTGTAATTTTATTTTTAGTCTCCACTGAACGAAGGCTAGGATTATAGCCGAAACGTATGGATTTAAAATAATTTTTTGAAAGAAATTCATGTTTTTTATTGATGTTATGCCCGATTAATAGACTTTGTTAATACATATGTCAACATCAAATTCAGAATCATACAATATATATATATATATATATATATATATATATATATTAACTATAAATATGTAACTATAAGCAATTAATAATTTTGAGATAGAATACATGACAATTAAATAGTATTTCAATTCCAGAGGTTGTGTGATATATATTTTTGGAAATTTTATAAGTGATATCGTAGCATTATTCAGGGAACAATTCTCTGATACTAATAATGAATACGAAATGTATGGATTGGTAGTAAAAACTGTCACAAAACCTAACTTCACATATGTGTAATCTAGTGTAGGTTAGGTTTTATGTGTAAAAAGCCTGATTGCATAACAAATACATAGCTTTTCACTATCCAGTTGCCGTAACATTTCTATTTTATCAGAGAATTGGTTTTTCAATTTATACGTAACCTTTTGTAAGAAGTGATATTTTTATACTATAAGTATAAGTATAAGTACAGTATATAAGTTATCTTGTGATTCTAGAAACATCAGGTAAAAATCAGGAAACATTTAATTTTGGAGCTGATTTTGTTAAAAACAAATAATTAAACAGGAAGAGTATGGTAATGAAAATTCTGGTTTTCTTTTACATTGATTGATTGATTGATACTATTATATAATTATTATAAAGTATTTGAAATTTGAGATTAGAATTTTTGGTTATTATTTGAAATTAAGTTGTGTAAAATATGAGAAAGGAAATATGATGTTTTATTATTATTAAAATGTTGTGTTAATGAGTTGAAATATATTTTATGAATTGTGAATGCAAGATTGTATTAATTTAATTTAATTTAATTAACTTACGTTCCTGTAGGATAACTTTTTTTATATCTTCAAGTTTCAAAGGTTTCTGAACATTTTGGCATACCCTAGAAAAAATAGATATACGTGTGTGTATGTGTATGTGTAGATACAATTTTTCGTTCACTATTCCGAGAGCATGGATGAACCGATTTGTATGATTCAAAAAACATTTAATTTGTAATGATGGAAGAAGTGGTGATTAGTTTTTGGCAAAGGCAGGTCCAGCCGTTTCGGAGATACGGAGCAAAGAGTGCAAAAAATACAAATCAAGTTTTTGAGAGAACGGAGTATCGGATTTGAATGATCTAAAAAACTTTCTGCTTGTATTGACAAAACAATTGCTTTTGAGGATAAAAAATGATTACATATTTTTTTTATTTTCCATAAAATATTTTTGTAATTTGGAATCAAAAAATTACCCAGGCTAAGCACAGTCTAAGTGCCACTCTGGTACAAATGTTTAGCCAAGTGCGTTTAGACTGTTTATGTACTGGAGTACTCTTCCAATTTTGTGAAAGAAGAAAACTATTGAAAAATGTGAAAATGCCGCCAATCTAAGCACAGTATAAGTGAGAATGTCGCACAGAATTATTTGCAAATGAGTTTTCAATTTTGTGTAACTTAGGCAACTATTTTTTTTTTTAAATTGAATTCGAAATGAAATGACGATTGTTAATGTTCTGGAGATAAATTGATTTATGATTCATGATTTACATTTGATATGCTCAGATATAACAATATAGCAAAAATAATGAAAGTTATAGTATTTGTAATAATATAATTGAAAACGTTTAAAATTTCTCGAATATTTCATTGCGATACGGGAATTTCCAGCAATTTGCCTTGAGGCACGATGCCATACGCCACTAGTTCATTTATAAATTTAGTAATCAAAAGCAATATTCGCAATATTTTGTAATTTTAAATTTGAAAATGGCGTCATACATCAATTCCTTCTCCGTCTAACTTCACGCCTATCCAGTTGACAGCATTCAGTCCATTACGCGCTCTGTATTTAAAGAATCATTTTATATAATTCTTAGAAATATGAGATAAGGTCCTTTATTCAAACTCCGCTTGATTAAGTTTTGTTTATTTACTTTTTCGAATATAACATATATAAACGTCGTCGTACAATTTATAAGCTATTATATTTTGTCTAATAAATACGAATAATCAAGTATTTGAAAACATTTAATATTCCTCGTATAATAAGGTACGGGAAGTTCCAGAAATTTGCCTTAATGCACGATGCAATACACCACTAGTTTTATTTTATAAATTTAGTAATCAAAAGTAATATTTGCTTTAAATATTCTTATAACCCAATATTTAAAATTTGAAAATCCTTGAATCCTTTGAACATCCATCCCTTTTTTCATCTAACTTCACGTCTATCCACTTGACAGCTCTGAGTCCATTACCCTCGCTGTCTTTAACGAATCATTTTATATAATCTTAGAAATATGAGATAAGGTCCTTCATTCTAACTCCGCTTGATTAGGTTTTGTTTATTCACTTTTTATGTAAACATATATAAACGTCGTCGCCTAATTTACAATCTCTTATATTTCATCTATAAAATACTCATAATGAAAGTTACAGTATTTATAATAATATATTTGAAAACATTTGAGATTTCTCGAATATTTCATTAAAGTACAGGAAGTTCCAGCAATTTGCCCTAAAGCACCACTAGTTTTTTTAATAAATTTTAGTAATTAAAAGTAATATTTGCATCAAATATTTTGTAAGTCAATATTTCAAATTTGAAAATTGCGGCACAAATCTACCCCTTGCTGCGTCTAACTTCACGCCTTTGCAGTTGACAGCTCTCAGTCTATTACCCTTGCTGGCTTTAAAGAATCATTTTATATAATTATTAGAAATATGAGATAAGGTCCTTCATTCTAACTCTGATTGATTAAGTTCTGTTTATTTACCTTTAATGTCAACTTATTGTTATCATCTCATTTATAAGCTCTTATGTTTCGTCTATAAAATAAGAATCATAGATAAGTAAATTAATAAGAATAGTAAAAGTTACAGGTTTTATAAAAATCTATTTGAAAACATTTAAAATTCCTCAAATATTTCATTACAATACGGAAAGTTCCAGCAATTTGTCTTAAT